ATGAAAAGTGATCCCAAACTAAAATGATTCAGTTTTTCATTAACCCCAAAGACATACACTCATAGGCACAATGATGTGGTGAAGAGTGCCTGACCAAACGGTGAAGTAAGGGGAATAGTAGTAGTAAGAAATGGCCTCAGACTGTCTAAAGATGACATTTTCACAAATTGGGGAAACTTTACAGTTCACCTAATGACCTCTTTACAGCTCTAGATAAATAGTCCTTCACCTCTCCTAAGCTGTTGGTCTTTCTCCCCGTCCTTTAAATTGCAGCTAACAAACCAGTGAACCTTCATCACCAAGCAATCGCCTCAGCCTGCACATTCCCTTCCTTTTATTCCACCGTTTTTCTCACTCCTGTGAGACTCCTCTCCTAGTTAACACCTCTATTGTGACATGAGCCAGGGGTCTGTAACTGTTCCTCTGGTTCTCTCTCTCAGGCTCTTCACACCTCGATGTTGATATGTGACCCAAGATCTGACAGCAGATTATCAGACCATCACCTCCACACTTCTTTCTGCTTAAATATACACTTCTTTTCACTCTTCGCTTTGCTTCAATGACTCCATGCTGTTCTGCCCTCACCCCCCTCAGACCAGCCTGCATTTGTGACAAGGTCCAAGATAAGGTTACCGCGCACGGGGTCGCTGACCAACAAGAAGAGGTATGGTAATGGGTCATAGGAAGGAAAGAGACACCCCCCCACATTTCATCAAACGCTGATGTCATGGCAAGATGCCACAGGGATGGGCTGCAGACTGGTGATGTCATAGCATGCTTGAATATCTATTTGGGGGGGCAGGGGTTAGAGGAGGATGGTTTGTGAATGTGTTCAGAATTTGTTGAATGGTTGCCACACAATGGTCTGATGCAATTCATGAAAAAATAAGGAAATTACTGACAAGTGTCCTATAACCGTGAACTTGTTTATTTGCCCTTATTTTCATTGATGTAATTAGTACAACCAAAAACAGCCATCAAAGTTATACCTCCAAGACCTATTTTCCAATTCCAGGACGAGCATGAGGGCTTTATTTCTATCAACCACAGACATACTCCACATCTAAAAAAAACAGAGCTCATTTGTCCTTGGTTTTGATGATTTGATTGCAGGTCCAGTGAGGTGCAATGCTGATCAGTATAGCTTGCCACTTGTGACCTCGTAAAAGAGAAGACATCAAAAATTAATGGGAGAAATTCGATCACTTGTTTTGTTTTACTTTTCTATTTGGAATTTGGTCAGCTAGAAAATCCTGTTTATTTAACATCCTGTCATCCCTCCGGTAGAAGGGAGAACCAGGGAACAGCCGTGATGCTGCAGTCATGGTTAGGCTACCAAAGAATTTCATCTGCATTCAAATCTGATTTATACCTGTGGTCTGAAAGACTCGAGTTAGGTGATGGGTTTAACCTACCATTGCAGAGCAAAGAGGTCTGAGTTTCACCACATTAGTAAATATAGGGGGGGGGATGTATTTAATGGATGGCAAAAAAAATGCTCTAAAAAGGACCAGCTCACTGCATATGCCTGTGAATGTGTTTGTGTCATTCCCCAAAGGACAGAGCCCCCCTCTGCCAACCCTGTCCCACCCCCATACCTCAGAAATAACTATTATGAGGGGTGACCGTGACAGCATGGTAGTTGGTGTACAGGCTCGAACATGCAAAAACAACACAAACAGGTGCTTTGAACACAAACACGCTATCTCTAAGGTTCCACATTCCAACACAAGGCTCGGCCAGAGCCTGGACCTCAACACTATCACAGCGGTGTGGGCTCTTCTGACAGAGAACAGCCAACATCCAAAGAAGAGCTTTGGGTTGTCCATCAAAAAGCTTTGAGAACTGTAGGGCCATTTCTATAGAGAGCATTCAATTCATGGGCAACAGCTCTGGCGGACATCCCTGTGAGGTGAGATGGATTATAGCGTTTAGCAAAGGAGAAGTGCTCACTACTGCAGATTTAGACAGATTTTATTAGAATATTTGAGAGAATTTTTTTTTTTTTTCAATATAGAAAATATTTTACATCTTTGACTTCATCTTGTGAAAAATGGGAGCCAAAGCAGAAATGCTGCGGTTATTTTTTTGTTCAGTATACATGGAAATATATTAGTTAATAAAATGTGGCAGCGGTTGCTGTAGTACAGCTAGTGTCCACTTGATGGTGCCCTTAGCCCTTTTAAAATGGCCTTCATACTAACAGCAGTAAGACTTATGTCAGATAATTGGGTAAAAAAGAGACAGTATCCCTTTCTTGTATAATTCTACACTTATCTCCTAATTTCTTGTTACTTTTCTTCCAAGCAGCTAAAGCTAAACCATGTGTATAGCGCTCCTGAGCAATAGTTCTCAAGGCTTTCTGAAGCTCTTTCTGAGTTTTTTTAGACATTTTCAGCTTTTTCTCTTGTTTTTAACCCAGTTCTTGTAGCTGACAATTCCTAAATGTGCTTTGTGTTTTTTCTTTGTAAAGCCAATTGACTCTTAAATGGAAGGATCATTCAGCTAGAAAAAAGCTAAGGAAGATAAAGGCCAAATGACACAAGAAGGTGTCTGAAAATAGCTGGCAACAGGTCTGATGGAGATATGAATGCCTCTCACACCCTCCATCTTAAAAACTCTTAAGAATCCAAAATACCTTGATTTTGAACCTCTAATTAGAACACTCTACCTCACGGTCAATTTTCTCATTGGAGCAATGAGAAGGGGTCATATAGTTCATTCATTCTTAATCTCCTCTCTTTCAGAATTGATGCACAGATGCGGGTTCTGTTCTGTGTAACATGAAGATTGCTTTTTGTTTTAGATGGCAAGTGATCTGCTGCCTTCTGCAATAGCAGGTCTAAGGCACGGTGCAATGAACCCATGTGAGGATCTGTTGAAGCGAAGCAGTAGCACAACAACCAGTTGTCAGCTTGGAAATGTACAAATGACTGCAAATGTTGTCTGGCACTGCCAGACATTCAACCAAATTCCCCAGGGAAGTATTTCAAACTGCACGCACACCAAACAGCTTGGCCACAGTCCTTCTGCAAGTGGTGGAAACAACAGGGCCGCAGCATGAAGACAAAGGCTCAATTAAGCACTATCAAATATTCATCTGCCACACAGCACCCAGCCGTTGGCTTTATCACCACATCCAACCGCTTCAGAAAATAAAACAACACAGAGAAAGGCCTGTTGTGAGGGGAGAAGAAACTTCTCTAATTAGCTTTCAGTTCACGGCAGGGAACACTGATCTATTTTTTAATGGATAGAAGCTCAATGCAAACCACTTGAGCATCTCTGACTTCAGAGCTCTCTAATCTGCAATATCTTTTGACATTACAAACAATGCAAATGGCTAATGGATAGAGGCTTGTTTTCTCACCTGCTCATATTAGGCAGAGATTACGGCAATCAGGTGGCTGAGAAGTCATTAAGAATTGATCGTGACAATGACATCACCTGACTGTCCACACATTTATGTAACTTGAGTTAACTCTGAGCTGTCAATACGACCCCCATCAATGGATCCAGTCCATCTTATTCAGACAGTGACTGGATCTAAAAGTGTTTAGTGCTGCTGCTGGTGGGGGTGGGGGGTGGGGATAATTGCCTTTGCAGCCTCTCAGACTGGTTATAATGACATTATCATGCGGTTAACAAACAACAAAGTGTCATGGGTCTCTGATATTTGGCGTTTTGTCTGTTTGTATCTACTTCCCATGTTCCCTCGTGTGTGTGTGCGTGTGTCTGTGTGTTGTGCTGTCTCCCCCTACTGAGCACTGGCTGGTATGCCTGTGTTATGTCCTATAGTGCGGGGCCACCCTTTTACTCTGGCAGGTTTTCTTGGAGTAGCTGAAGTTCCTACTCTCATCTTAAGATTTCGGGTCTCAGTCAAACCACATCGCCATGACTCCAAACAGGTGCGACTAACTGCTTTATCATAGTATCTAGCTTTATTTACCCGTTTTATCATTGCTTTTTCAAACCGCTCTTTTTTTAAAACTATGGGCCAGTCCTGGGTGATCTATTCCGCCTGTCTCATCACCCAGCAGTCTGTTGTTTCACCATATGTGCACCTACCTGGACCCCATCAGGGTTTATGAAACTCACCTGGACTTGTGAAAAAAAACAAAAAAATTTGGAATAATCTGCAGGGCACAGTCTCGAAGCAACCAGTTGAGATTTTTTACAGTTCACCTGTGAAATACAAAAATCATTGTCATTATTTTTTGTCAACCGTGTTTGCCATTGAGACTTCTTGATTTCTGAGCACCATAAATAATTGGTGAAGTGTAAACCTATGTAGTTCCCAGTTTGTGTCAGCAGGGGGCATAGTTGCACCATTTGCTGGAATTTAACCTGGACTACAACTTTTTGTAAAAAAATTATTGCAAAAATTAGGCATAAGTAGAAACCTTTCGTTGCATTAGGCTACAACCTACTAAAATACCTACCTGAGGGGCAATAATTATGACAGGGATTTTGTTATATTGCTCCAGTTACTTCTGTTCCAGTAATGTTTTGTGTAATGATGTATATTCTCACGAAGAACTTCTACAGGGCGACCCTGCTCAACAAAAACTGAATACACACGGTGGGTTGTGAGCTTTCTGTGGTTTTCATAACTTTACCTGCACCAACATTCGTTCCTCATCTCGCCCACGCCCAGGAAGACCAATAAATTCAAATTCTATCTTCAACTTCCCATCACTGCCTAAAGGTAGCCAGTGCGCATGTGCAAATACGCAGCCTACCTGTGTGCATTTTTAAACTATGCTATAATTGTATTTACATTTGCAAACGTTTCAGCTGATGACGGTTTATGTTCTGTAACTCAGTTAGGGCCAGCTAAGAACCTTACATTTACATTTTGTGCTCAATTTTAATAAAGGCTATTTGATTTTTAAAACAACCTTAACTGTTTGGACTCCTTCAGATCTTGCAAAGCCTAAGCAGCTGTTGTTATTGTTGTTGTTGTTGTTTAATAGAAAAAAATCCCAGACTGCAAGGTCTTAAGGTCCGACTTCCCCTCGTAAAAATGTGATGAATGACCCACCCCTCCCGTCCTCTCCGGGATGGGCGGTCACTGTTTCACTTCTCCCTTCAAATGAGGTATTGAAATGTAGATGCCTTCAAACGAATAGCTGCCACTCTGTAGAGCGCCACTAACATCATGAATCCCACGGGCTTTCCCATTGCGGCATCGATAGAGTTTAAAGAGTTTGGAGAGGAGTCCTCGGAGGGAGACGCGGAGGATCTTGACAGTGTCAAGGCGCTTACGGAGAAGCTGAAGCTCCAGACGCGCCGGCCATCCTATCTGGAGTGGCAGGAGCGGGTGCAGAGCCGCTCTTGGAGGGAGCAAAGTTCCGAAGCCTGTCCAGACTCTGAGGGACAAGACGCGTCCATCCCAGCTGCTTTGGAGAACCCGGAGCTGGTGGTGCGCAACTTTTGCGGCTTTGAAACTATTGATGACGCGTTGGAGTTTCTGAGGAAAGAGCTTGTGAGTTGCTCTTGAACTTTCGAATGTTTCACATTTTGTTTACTCATACTCATATACATGTCATTGAATGTAAAATTGGACAGTAAAGTGGCAACGACTGGCAGATGAGGCAGTCAAACCAAAATAGAACCTAGTCCCTGACTTCATAGGAGATAAATCTTCCTGCAAGTTCATATCCTCAGGTGTAATTTTTTCCCCCCTCTGCATGAATGCTTGGATTATGTAAAGTAAAATATAAGTGAGGACATTCAGTCCCATGAGGCTTAACAAACACTTTACAATATGCTGCCTGTTTTCTCACAGTCAGTCTGCAGCTCATACATTCCACATGCCAATGATTTACACCCTTAGATAAGAAGACGATAGGGAAAAAAAAAAAAAGAGAATACATAATGCCAATTCAGTCTATTCTCTGGTATCTTATTTGCGTTCTTTCCCACTTCCCACCGCAGAGAGCAATGCAAGTCCAGGACAACCGTTTGGCCCGTCAGCTGATCCGCCTGCGCACGGAGATCCACCGGCTGAAGGTGGAGCAGGTCTGCGACCGCCACAAGGAGATGCTGGACGACGCCACGTACGAGCTGGAGGAGTGCGGGGAGGAGTCGGACCTGCTGTGTGACATCCCCATGAAGGCCGCCTTCGCCCTGTCCACCCCCCTGAAGCACCTGGGCCTCACCAAGATGAACATCAACTCAAGGCGTTTCTCCCTGTGCTAAAAACCCGGCCGCCCTTTTCCCACACAACCGAGGATGTGTCCATCTCCTCTCCTGTGTTTGCTTAGGCAGGTTTTTCTAGAGCTGTTTCCTCCTTCACCCAGGTGTCGCGGGGACAAAGGGAGGAGCAGCTGCCAACAGTTGCGGCCAGGACTGAAAATGAAAATGATATGCTGGCGTGACATTAATGAATGAGGAAAAACTCTTTTGCGTGCACGAGGACTTGTGGAGGAACAACTTTTCCAACAGTCAGAGCTTCCTGCTGAAGTGAGTCTGAGCTGTTCTGCTGCTGGCTGTTTTTGTACAGAATGAGTCACGAGATGTAGATTTAAATGTCACGTATAATTAGAATGTAAAATGTCCAAGATTAAGGATTTATGATTTTATCATGAACAAAATGGTTTCGTAAAGGCCAAAGAAGCCCAAATAGAAAAATAGAATTGTGTTGCCGAGGGATTGTTAGAAAATGGGAACATTAAAAGCCCCCATGCCAATTGGGGGCTTTGACTGAGGTCACGTAACTTCAGAAGGCATTACCCCAAACCGAAGCGTGATCATTGGGATTAAAAGTGCAAATGGAATGAAAAAAAAAAGTAAACAATTAAATTAGCTTCAAAGCCCTGAAATTAAATAGAGGCTCACTTATTTTTTTTCTAAACTGGTTAGATGCAGTGATGAGGGTCTATAATGGTTTTGCTTTAGGTTGTCACATGCTTTGATGAAATCAAAGAGTTCCCAGACGGTTCGCACAGTCGGATCACATAAAACGAAATGTTCAGCAAGTCTTCAAAGTCAACACAGTCCCTCAGTGCAGAGACTTGCCTCTGAGTTCTGAAAGCCTTAACTGTCCTGACAGGGAGCAGGTCACATTTTTTACACCTCACCTTCACAAACCAAAGATATCTTTACAGCTCCAGCACTGCAGCGAAAGAAGCTGGGGGGGCTGTTTTTGCTTCCCAGCAGCATGTCCAGATGACAACAGATAATTCTGTAAAGCGGATTAATGTATTTTGGTATGAAGTGGTGAATTAAAACTATAAATTGTTTCTGTCTAAACAAGTAAGACGAATGAATGAATTCTTTTTAGATTCAGTTGCAGTTATGTTAGATGTTGAAAACATCTACTGATCTTTTTAGAAAGCACTATAAAAAAAAAGGTAAAATGTATAATGTACCTATCTTAAAGAAAAATGCTTGTAAAAATGTTTTTTTCTTTGTAATACATAAAAAATATCTTGTGAAGTAAAGGATTTGTTTCTGCATCACGTCTACCCTACATTATTTAAACATGTAGACATTTACAGATGGACAATCCCGAGTCTTGTATCACTTCAAAGAACGCTGGGGGCTGGTTCTGTCTGTGAAGTTCGGGTAAAGATCCCCACGTGCTCCACGAGACCCCCCCCCCCCCCCCACATCCTAAAGCAACCTGTGTACAATGGTGTTATCTTTCCTTATACTAGACATGTGTGACCTGGTGTACCATCCAAACATAAAATCAGTGACCCAGAGGCATGTGTGGAGTCACAACAATGTGGAAACACTGTTGGCCTTAATTTGTTAAACAGGAAATCAAATATGCTTTGGCATAGAGAGCGGCCACTATTTGAAATGCGAGCACGGCGGCTGAAATGATCATCATATGGGATGCTTCAGGACACATGATCTCATGTGTGACTTGAGATCACAACAGTCAGAGACATAGTAAAGAATATCGTGTGTAAAATGAAAAGAGGCTTAACTAGTCCACCTCGAGGCCTTTTTTTTTCTCAGTAAATACTTTTACCACAAAGTGCTGCAGACTCGTGTTTCTTGTGCCACTCAGATTTGTCCCACGGACACTTCCCCTTGACCTTTTTCTCTTTATCATGCATACCACACTTGATGAGCACAGAAGCTGATATTGGAGTGTAAATAAGATGGGCTCATCTATCAGTTTATTGTGTGAGAGAGTATGCGCAGCTCAACAAAACCAGGTCCCACATTCACAAAAGAGGCCAGCACCTGCAGCGCAAAGCAGGCAGTAGGAGGGTTGGAAAACTTTCTACATATTGATAGCATCTCAGTTTGATTACGTAAGAGAATGTGATTTCCAACCGCATTTGGAAAAGGAATACCCTAAAAGCCTCTCACGGCCTGCTGTTCTCCAGAGATGGGGGTGCTCTTTTTCGGGTGCGCCCACCATGTCGAAGCCTTCTTCTGTCCTCAACTTTTGCTCTTAATGTGTTCCAGCACTAAGATCAGCACTGTTAAAGGCCCGTTTAACAATCAAAACTTCATAAAAAGATATACACCCTCACACATCCTCTTAGACTGTCGCTCTCTAACGGAAAAAGCGAACACTCAGGTGGTTTTGACTCGGCTTATTCTAAATCTATGCTGTGGCAGTCTTCTAAGGCTGTGAGTTACACGCAGCCTCTCCGATGTTTGGACTGACTTCCTGCCAGTGCAGGCTCTTTAGCAACAGCCGTTCACCACAAGAAAGGAGATGAGGTCCTCAGCAAAAGGTGTCTGAAACGTAGAGAGCGTGATGGCAAAGGCCTTGGAGTGTTCTCACAATCTAAGCGACTGAATGTGACTGTGGTGTGGCTCGTTCGACAAATTAGGCTGAAAATGAGGATCTGTGAGATGTAAATCCGATAATTTGTAAGTGATGTGCCTGTAAATACTTGTGTTATTTTTACAAATCTGAGAAAAAGAACGTCATTGCTAAAGTCTGTTTCAAAGTAACCCAAAATGCACGTTTGTGTCTTGTAATCATGATTTCATAGCATAGATTCAGGGAAAGAGGACGCATGACTGTCAGGGGCCAAAATAGTCACTTGCGACACACTATTTTCAATTGAATCTTACAGAGACCTCTGATACAAACCTGACATGGTGTGAAACCGTTTTGGTTGTAAATGTATTTTAATTCTCAGGAACTATCACCTACCAGCTGGATACTGATGGTGTAGCTCAACCTAAAGGTCAGTAAGTAAGACGTCATGTCACACTAAGCGAAACAAAAATATACAAGTGATACCTCACCAGTGTCTCAGCCCACCCAGACATGCTTTTTTTAAACTGTATTGGAACATTGGCATCTTTGGATAAGGTGCTGTCCTGACCCCTTTGCCAACCAGCCTATAACGTTCCCTTCTGCTCACACACAGCTGCACATTAAGCACCTGTTCAAGCCTGCAGAGCAACCCTCAATGTTTCAACGACAGGAAACTCGCTGTGTCGCTCCTCCGCAGTGTGTAACTGTGTGTGTGTGTGTGTGCGTGTGTGCATGACAACATATCAGCACTCTTTGCTCTGTTAGTTATAATAAGAGAAGCGGATGATGACATCTTCACACCCAACCTCTTGGGCTGAACAGCTCAACCTTTGGCAGAAAAGTCTTTAGAAGAAATAAATGTTTGTGAAGGAATACCTTGATGGCGGCATCTGAAATCTGACATTTCTGGACGCTTGGGGAGAAATTAAATTTTTCAAGAGGTGAGCCTCTAACTTATGATCCTTTCAGAAACTTTGAAAGACAAAAACATTAGAATTTTTTTCTTAAAGAGATCTTCTATATAGAATGTGCTACATATAACTCGGTAAAAAGAGTGTTTGAATTTATTCATTTCTGTTTGAAATTTTTGTCATACAAAAATTGAAAAAATGTATGAGGAGATAAAGAAACCCCAAAATAATACACAGTTCCACTCTTCCTGATTATATAAATCAATGTTGAAATAAGATTCCACCACATAAGATAGAACAATAATCTGTTTTCTAGGTGAAATCAAATGGAAAACCAGTCAATTAATACATTTCATACTCATGTGTTTTATGTGTACATTAAAACATGTGATACCACAGGTATTACTTACCACAGGTTTTAATGTTCATATAAAACATACCAGTGGATGCGAAATTAAATTTTTCTGTGGCTTTTGTTTGTGTCTTCAAGTTCATCTGGCAGTTAGAGAAGCAGGGTTAAGGTTTTTCTCTCGCTTTCATTTGATACATATCTAAAGTACAAAAAAAAACAGTCAGTGGCGCGTGTGAATGAAAAGGCTTTCAATTACAACGAATAAGAATTTGGAGGGTAGCCCCCGAGTGGAAAATGCTGACTTGTGTTTCTCCCTGAGTGCTGGCCAGAAAGCGTAGGAGAGGAGATCATTGAGGAACTTCATACTCTGGTGACCCTGCTCTGATTCAGTCGGGGGGTCTCTTTTTGCAGCAGTGGTGGGTTCTTAGAGCCGGGTCATGCCTCTCCAGATTTTTCTCACGGCTTTGGGTCATTTGGACTGACGTTTTCTGCGATTAGCCCACTGACCCCTTTCCACTAGTGGCCCAATGGGAGTTAAGTGAGCTTGAGAAATCTGGTTCTTACAGGGAACTGGTGTAAAGCACAATACAGAACACGTGCATGCGGCAGATTACACAAGATTAACATTGCTGCTGGTTTTCAAGGCCAGCTATTGAAGTCTGGGTGCAAATTAGAGCACTTTGAACACTTGGAGCTGAACTCTGCATGAAAACCTTGTCAAATCTGATTTGATACGTGTGAAGTATGTGTCATAAGAAGAGTGTCTAAAATGAAAACGTTGGATCCTCCATTTTGAGTCAAGCTCCTAAACCACACCCAACCAAAATCAAATTTGGAAATGTTGCCCTCCATCAAACTTTGAAAGAAACAAAGAGTCCCTAAATACTTTAAAGTTTTTGATAAGTGTGAATAAAAAAACCCAGAATAAACCACTACTGTCCTCGACTCATTTTTCTATCAGAACAAACATGTCTGGGATGTCTGTCTGAACACATTCTGTCTTTATGAAAGCGTCTAAACTAAATTCCTCTTTATATTGCAGAAAAGATGGGCTGTGCCTGCAGTTCAGATTCAGACGAATGGATTGAGAACTTGGATGAAATCTGTGAACACTGCAACTGTCCCATACCTCCGCAGTCGTGCAATACAGTAAGTGCACATTTTAAAAGTGCAGAATGAGCTCGCACCAGCGCAGTGAATTCTGTTGGATTGCAGGTGAGCTGGACGTGAATCAGTTTGGTTCAGTTTACCTGATGAACGACCAGTTGGAGGACACTTACATGAGCTGACTGCAGCACTAGCTTGAAGCTTTGAACACTTAATTGCTTCCCACAATTCATTCAGTGTTGCGTAAAATCTTTAATCAACCACTGGGTGTTTCATTGTAGCAGAATGACTTACGTAACAGTGAGGGAAGTCGTCTTTTGTGTGTGTAATTAAATTAGAGTTTAACCATTCCCTCAGTGTTGTTTTGTTTCCTCTCCGCTACTTAGATGTTCAATTGGATTAGAAATAAGGAGAAAACCATCTGGGCTATACACTCACACATTTTGTCAGCAGCAAATGTTTATGTTCGGTGTTTATGCATTTAGCTGATGCTTTTATCCAAAGCGACCAATATCAAGCTGTTTACGATATGCTGGATGTAAAACCAGATGTTGGAGATCTTACTTTAAATGTGATATACAATAGTGTGTTTCACCATTTAAATCTTTTACAACGTTTCACAAAACTGAAAATGAAATGTGTCTGATATTATTTTTGTCTTTTCAGTACACAGATCAGCTGATTCCATACCCATCGCAATATTCCCCACCTACATCACCTTTACCAGGTAGAAATTTGTGAATGTCTTTGTGATAAAAATTTAATCATTCTGGAGAGTTTGTCTTGAATATGTTTATGTTTATGCATTTGGCAGACGCTTTTATCCAAAGCGACTTACATATGTCTAAAGTGATGATTTAAATCATATTAAGTGGGGTTTTTTGAACAAGATTGAACATTTTGAAAACAATTATATGACCTTTAAAAGTACATTGGAAATCTATACAGAGTATAAGAGAAAATACCTTTTTTAAAAAGAAGATTTTCTCTTCCTGCCACATATTACATTCTATACCGCGTCGTTTTTTCATATATCCTCCATTTTCGTCAGATTGTCAATTTTTCGAATGTTTTCCTTTAGACTGATAGTTGAAACAGTCTTCAGCCGTATGTTACGTCTTATACAGGAGCTATATGCTCTTTGGAAATTAAAATAAAATATCAGCAAGTCTTTCTGAGCAACAAATTATTAGATAAGTTTGAAAAAACTAGGTGATAAACTTGCGCCATCAATCTTAAATCGGTTCGGCTGAAAGCTTCTGTTAGGGAGGCAAATGCAGCTATTTGTTGTGCTATGAAAGATACATTTTTCAAATTTCAGTTGGAAGCTAAATGCATTCTTTCTCCTTTCAGCTTTGTCATGGGGTGTTTAGCAATAGTCATTAGTCATTTTCAAGATAATTCAAAGACTTACACAAAAGATTCTCTATTTACTGTAATTTCTGAGATTTAAGATGGCTTTAACCCAACTAATCTAACTTAATCTAATAATCTCTTTCTTACAGACAACATCGGGGTGGCCATATACAGTTATGAGCCCAAACATGACGATGACCTGGGATTTGAGAAAGGAGACAAGCTCAAGATCATCAACAAGTGAGTTATTTTACGGACACGCTATAAAAAAGGGAAGCAAAGAAAGAAAAATGTTTCAGCCAAAAAATAAAACAGTGTAAATTGCATCCACTTTTTGAGTTTTTACCTCTGATATTCGTGCATACAACATTTCAAACCGGGTCTCTTTGGTAGTCCTGGTCACATTTGATGAATTTTAAGTCCCCCACATTCTTTCGACTTACGTTGTGAACACCCAAAGCTCACAGCCTTTCTAACATGTTGAATTTTCTAACAAAAGAGGAAAAAAGTTGAACGTCATGATTACATTTTGTGTTTGAAGGAGGAAATCCAAAGGTCTCTTTGGAGGATGGAGATTAAAAATACCACTGAAATAAATGTAGTTACTGTTTCAACTGTTGCGCAGTTGTTAATGATGTATCAAGTAAAAAATGCTGCATTGTTTTAAGAGACAGAAAAAAGTACAAGCATGTGCAGCTTAGGGGTATGTGCGGTGAGGCCCGGATGCATATGCGACCTTGTGTCTATACGGGTTCAGCTTGTGTTGGTTCACCTCTTCCTCTGTCGGGAACTTTTGTAGATTTTGGGGATGAACTTTATATCTCGAGAATATACACTAAGATAGATTTTTTGTAGAAGTTGAATACATTTTCAATTTCAGGGCTATGTATTGGAATACCTCAATCAGCCTATCTTGACTTAAACTTTTAGATACTTGAGAGAGTGTTTATTGGATCCGGTCCTGGATCGAGGATTTGATGATAGCTAACCAGTTCTAATGTATTGTGTTTTTTTGGCGTTAAACTGTGCCAAATATACAAATTTACAAATACAAATACAAATTGGCCCTTTTGTTCAGAAAAAATGTTTGGAAAATTTCTTGAGTATTCACAATTTGCTCATTTCTTTAGCCTGAATATAACATAAAACTAACTACTTGCTCAGACAAATACACCAGCGATTTGAGAGGGAGGTTGGTGAATCTAGCAATGTGACCAAATCCGAAATGGAGTATATGGTGTATAATTATGTAAATATTAAAAGGTCATGGTACACATGCCTCTTACCTGGTCCATTCTAATGTATAACACAACACATTCTATAACCTGTTCAGTGAAATACACATTCATTTAATGAAGTGATATTGATGCACAGATTTGATCTGTGGGCCTCTTAAAGATTGATTATATTGTTCAAATGGTGAACCCGTTCTTTCCGAAACAGCTGTGAGGCATCGCCAAATTGGAAACAAACTCATGGTATCATTGCTTTCCCTACTAACACACAGGGATGACCCAGAGTGGTATTTGGCTGAGTCCCTCACCACAGGCCAGAGGGGCTACATCCCATACAACTTCATTGCTATGACCACAATGGAGACAGAAACGTAAGTTGCGAAGGCAACATAATGTCAAGGCTCTCAGTGCGATCTCATCTTACCCCATATATGCCGTGTCCCTGAGGGAAGGGAAGTGGTTACTTTAAAGTTTGAAGTGTGCTCTGTGTTTGTGCTGCAGATGGTTTTTTAAGAACATTTCACGAAATGATGCCATGAGGCTCCTCCTTGCTCCTGGGAATACACAGGGCTCCTTCATGATTCGAGAGAGTGAGACTTCCAAAGGTGAAATTAACTTGATTTTGTTTTTCTATCATGCACTGATTGAATCATGAGTCAAGTTCAGTACAAATATAAGTGGTCATAAAATGTAGTTTTGATGTCATATTAAATTTTCATAGAGAATGATGTAAACCGTAGAGTATGCCTTGTATTTTCACTTCAATATTTCCTTCTTTATGCTAGCATGTATTTGATAAGATACTGAGCAAAACAATGTATAATGTCACATTTCATTCCACCTGGCGAGGAATAAATATGTTTTTATTGTGTAATGATACATAAAAGCTCAGAAATGAGAGAATCTGTCCTTCACTTTTCACATTACTCAGTTTGATCTATTCTCTGTTTCCTTTAGTTCTGTTATTACTTAAAGAGTCTCTAAAAGAAGATCCATTTCCCCAAGGTCCCCATTTCCTGTTTCATAGTTTGCTTAATTCATTTGATTTCAGTTTAGCTTTCCTGCTAAAGATGGAAATACCCATGTACTTATGTCTGAGTGTTTCAATGGCTTCATTGTATGTGTTGAAGACAGAGCACAACATTTATCTTAAAAAAATACAAAGAGCAACTGCTCATACCAGGATATTTTGGGATGTTTTCATGGCAACAAGCTGGAAGATCTGACCCCTTACTACCATTGCAATTCCATTTCTTCAAAGGAATTGTAATATACCAGTTTAAAATGTTCCGATTTGATGAAAATCTGCTGTTCCTCCAGGGAAGAAATCGTTAACACGTCTCTCGGCTTTCCACTTTTCCCACTCTCCCTTGCATGCAGGGTCATACGCATTATCAATCAGGGACTTGGACCACAACACAGGGGAAGGAGTGAAGCACTACAAGATCCGTAACCTGGACAATGGGGGCTTCTACATCACATCCAAGATATCTTTCAGCTCGCTGAAGGAGCTTGTGCAGCATTACACACGTGCGTATGACTGTAAAAGCATCAAACAGTCTATCCCCGAGAGGGTCAACACCTGAATGACATTCTCTATATTTCTTCCTTTTCGTCCTCCAGGCGATGCAGACGGGTTGTGCACGAACCTTGTGAAGCCGTGCCAGTCGAGGGCACCACAGAAGCCCTGGTGGCAGGACGAGTGGGAGATTCCCCGCGAGTCCCTGAAGCTGGAGCGAAGGCTCGGAGCCGGACAGTTTGGAGAAGTCTGGATGGGTGAGTTGTTTTCCACTATGAGTTCAAACTCCTCACTCAGGAGTTTTTCTACAACACATCTAAAAAAAAAAAAAGAACCACAAATACCCAGCCTGGCTGTGGTTTTGCCTGCTCGCCAGAGGCCAGTGATTTTCTGCAGCCTGTGCAGAAGAGTTTCCTGAGTGCAGGCTTAATTGTAGGTTTGTTTGAGATGGTTGACAAAAGAATGATGTGCGGTATTAATCCTGATACACAATGTTGCTCAAAACTACATGGATGCAACCGTTCAAGATTCTTTTCCTGGGTTGCTTTCAGTAATGTTTAATGTGATTATGGAGTGCTAAATTAAACAAAGGGGCTAAACGTTTTGATCACTAAGATATCAGTTAAGCCGCAAGCCCATTATCAGTCAATTGAAGGGGTCATTTTCCCTCTATTTTCCATACTCATTTGCCAGCACCATTTAACATCCAAAACAAACCACTGCCCAAGAGATAAACATGGCCAACCATGAACTTGTCCTCATTTCACTGCCACACTTAGACTTGCAGTATTGTCTTGACTGTTGTCTTAGTCCCGTGTTTGTTTCTCTGTCCTCATCCAAACATCGGTTCAGTGACACAGATGAGTGATGGGAGTGACTCTCACTGAGTGTAAAATGTTTGCTTAGTGCACACGGAAATACGTCCGTATGATATCCATCCTTTATTTTAAAAAGATTTTCGCCACAGATAATAGACACAGAAGAATGCTTTGAAAAAGGGGTCATCATTTCACCCCGCATCGCCATGCTTCACGCAAGGTGTGAGATGTTGATGCTCCACACTAAGGACAGATAAAACTGGTCGGTCGATGGGATGGAAAGTGGAGTTAGTGTACCAGAGATGGCGTGAGATTGTGTTTTTGTCCACATTTGATTGCAGGTCCTGACAAAAGCGTTGTGTTTGAAGCTGCAACAGGATGAGGAAATGCTTTCACTTTTAAATGAGTCCATGTGAAGCCAGCAGATCATATTTTGATTAGCAATATGCATCCTTGAAGGGAAGTGACTAAACTTACCATAAGATTTATCAGCCTTTAGATTTATCAGGAGGCTGATAAATCTAATAGGTGGCACAATTATACAAGGTGTAAATCATAAACAGCGACATATGGATGAATTACTGATTTTGTGTGTGTCTTCATATTAGCTCAAGTCAAGTCATCAGTTCCAGCCTTGCTGACTTATATGAAGTTCTTTGATCATTTATGACACGTTTCCATTTCATGGAGAAATAATCATTTGAGATGTAGAATTTGGTTGCAGCAGCTGTTCTATGTTGAAAAATGTAGATCCACTAAAAGTAAGCAACTCTCCAAGAATTAAAAAGTTATGTTAATATGTTTAAATCACATGTACAAAATGTCGTCTATAGACCACTCATTTGTGGTCTATAGACGGGAGCGAGAATTGATTCACTGGGTGTGTTTTTTTTTATTCTATTTATCATTTCCTGGAAGAGGACTTTGACATGCTGATGACATGCCATGCACTGACGAGTGTGAACCAGTTCTGTGCACAACTGAAAGTGCTTTGGTGAAACAGCTGAGCAGAGCAACAACTTTTTCAAAATCAGAAATAGCTTATCAAATATAATTTCCCTAAAAATAGTAACAGATAAAGGAAACATTAAAGGTTGGAACTTGGAAAGAAGAACTTGACTTAGGGAACATGTAAATCCTATGACAAATGGATTATGTTTTTATTTGTCATGATGGGGATTAGCAAGTAAAGTCTGATTGTCTATTTTCAGGTGTATATAACAATGACAGAAAAGTGGCTATAAAGAATCTGAAGATGGGCACAATGTCCGTGGAAGCCTTCCTAGCAGAGGCCAACATGATGAAGAACCTGCAGCACCCCCGCCTTGTCCGCCTCTTTGCTGTGGTTACCCAGGAGCCAATCTTTATTGTCACAGAATACATGGAAAATGGTGAGTAGAAATAGTGTATCCTGTGCCATTAAAGGGAATAACAACCCTCAAACATGGATGAAGAATTCCAGATTTCTCTTGAAACTTAAAAACAGAAGTAACACTTTGTCCTATTTTATTACTCATTAGAAGTTCAGTTAAAGAATATCCTTGTGTAACTGTATGAGCTAATTTCAGATGTTTGGCCTACTAAAATATGTTCAAGCCTGTCCGAATTGATTATTTCCTTAATCTCCTGCCTAGTGACAGCTAAGACAGTGTTATGGGGCTGAGCTCTGAGCCTGGTGAGGAAACAAAGGAGTCATGTTAGTGCAGTGTCATAGATGTTCAGGATTAAACATGTTGATCTGTTATCAGACTCTGGGTGGGAGCACAGGCTTGAACAAAAGCCCGGGTTGCACCATGCATTTCTCCCTTTAATGAGTCATGATGTTTTCACATGGATACTTCACTCCAGTGAACCTGTTGAATGTCTTTTGATCACACATACATCCACGGCTTTGTTTCTGTTTATTTGTGTTTGATGTATGACATCAGATTTGCATTTCTGAACCTTCACTTACCTATGTGTGACGCTTGGGACTGGACATGAATGCAGCTGTGTGAACAAAACTAAATATGGAAGTTACAGTAAGCCCCGACTCCAAAGCATGCTGAAGTGGTCTGGCCTCTGATAGGCTATTTTCAGCTTCTCCTCATCACCTCCCATGTATTTACAGCCATGTGTGAAAATCTTTCAAAGCAAAGATGAACTTTCACATCTTTTCCGGGCCCCAGACAGGTTACTGGTGTTTACACGCTGAGGGGAAGTTTCTCTTGACTGGTGGGAGATGAAGGGTGTTAAAATGGGAGAGGGTGAATGAGTGTTATTGTTCAGAGGGATGATGCCTGGAGATGTTCCAGAGGTGGAAATATACAAAGTTTTAGCACATGTGGCTGTAAGCATGTTGCTTTAACGATAGCGTTTTATTCAGCATCCTGTCACTGGATCTCTCTCCTTTTCTCTCCCGTCTTACATAACAGGGTACCCGTTAAATAATCAAACGTTAAATGAATTAGACGTAACAGCTGCAAACTGCTTTTGATAACTCAGCCTGCTCAGTAAAGGTGCATTACACCCAAAAGCCTCAGACAGCTGATCGCAACCCTGTATCTGCTTCAGTTTAACCTCAAAAGTCTTTGTAATTCCTTTTCCCTGGAAACGACAACACTAAAATGTATTGAGAGATGCTGTCACAAACACAACGACAGCCTTACAGCCAACGTGAAAGGGGCGTCTTTGTGTGATCATCTGTGAGAGTCTTGTAAACCATCAGCAGGGCTTCTACATGAGGCTGTCTCTTTGTCTGGAATCCGTGTTTGGACAGGACACAATTGTGTCTTCTGTTGTCCGGAGAAAGGATGGCTCGGAGTTCCCATCTTTTACAGTTTGTTCCTCTTTTTTTGTATTATCAAACACAACAAAAGGGGGAAAATAACAGGCGTGTCATCCCAGCTTCCCTTTGTGGCCTTGACAAAAACCATTACTCTGGCATTTGGACTTCAAAAGAAGACTTCTGGACTTAAGCAGTGGAGTAAATGCCTCTTCTTTCCTGTCACAGTCATTCCTTTTAAAGTATTTCCTTTGGTTTGACTTGTTGGCCGGTGTGCAGAGGTATTGTTCAATGCTAATCAAACCCAGCACAAAGTTAACTGTCAGAAAGTATGCGTCAGTTGACCGATGTTCTGTGTCCTTCCTGACAGTGTTATGTTCACTGATTTAAGCTTCTATTCTGGTTCAGGTCAGTTTATTTATGTCTGTAGGGAAGAAAAGAAGCTGAAAACGTGATTTATCATCTGGACAAGGCATTCTTTTTTTTTTAAATAACTTTCCATTTACAATTAGCTTTCATTTCTGTGTTGTTGTTTTTTTTTTGTAGAATAAATAGAAAAACAAACATTTCAGTTGTGGAGTTAGGAATATTTGTTTGAAATCTAAGGCCAGAGTTTGGAATATCTTAAGAAGTTAGTTGAAATTAGCAAATCTTGTATAAATAGGAAATAAGTCATGACAAATAAATAAATAAATTTCCCATGATAGGAAATACATGCAAGTAGTCTATGAAGACATAAAGAACTTAAATTTGATCAAAATAAGTCTCTCTCAGGGTGGTGTGATTTGATTTAACGGCCCTCACAATGATGTTTATTATTCCTCAAAAACATAAACATAACACAGCTCCCAGGTAATCCCCAAAGGGGATTGTTGAAACGTCAACAATCTATAATGTGATCAGAAGGTTTCACTGTCGTAAAACTGTGAAAACGCCTCCAGGATGTGGTGCTAAGGAGATACAAACTGAGAACTTGAAAAAGTTTGTGGGACTGTGTTGGAAATAGGATTTTTTTAAACTTCCAGCTTCCAGGTGACTCAAAGCAACCTGGTGTGACAGTTTCAGCTTAAACCACAAGTCAAATATGTGAAAACACAAGAAGATGCAACTTTCCAACAAAGTAATTGAAGTACTTTGATGGATAGGCCTCAGTAATTCTGGGTATTATAGGGCATAAATATGCAAAAGTAGAGTCCTTTGGTAATGCTATCTGTGAGGTTGTTTGAAAATAAGAGGCCATATGGAAAACCCACAGTAAAACACAGCAGAGGTTGTATGATGCAGTGGGATAGCTTTGCTACTGGAGGGATACAACATGTTGTAGGAGTTCCAAAAAGATTATAAATATGACGAAGAAAGCCAAAAATCGATGTGGACAAAAAGCAAAAATCCAGCACCAGCACTGTTTTAAGGAGTCCAACAACAAAGATATTTGACAATGGTTTACCTATCTAGTTAATCTATGAAGATAATGTTAATCATGTTTTTTCCATAAAGAACAATATGCATGAATACTTCAGCTTTGATGTCCTTTTCACAGGGAGCCTGGTGGATTACCTGAAAACCCCACAGGGAGGCAATTTGCCAATAAACACTCTCATAGACATGGCGTCTCAGGCAAGACATTCCTTTTCATTTCAAAATCAATTCTCTTATTCACTCTGATTCTCCTTTATTTAAATTTTCACCCCTTTTTTTCTCAGCATGACCCTTTTTGCCCAGAAACTGGCATGTGTTGTAAAAAGGCTTACATTCACCACTAATATTGTAACAAGGGGAAGGCATGCGTTCAGGAGGGCATTTGTGTTTTAATTTTTGTCTATATGTCATGTAACAAATAAAATGTTTTTAACTACAAAAAAAGAATTATGAAAATGCAAACTTGCAAAGTTTGCATATCAAAACAAAATTGTGTCTTTACATCCATTTTGAATCTGTGCCAAGCTTAACAATGTCAAAAGGATACCCAATTTGATATGAATCTAAGTATGTCAAACCACTCATATGATGTGTTTAAAGGGAGTGTTGAGATAGAATTCAGTTTAAAGTAACAGTGTCTAGAGTTTAGCTAAAAACCTGAAAACAGGATGTATGCTGTGGAGGCACGTGCTAAAAAGGCAAGATAACTGCTGGTTTCACAGAGATTTGGAAGCCCTGACATTATAAGAATAACAACAAAAAATATCTTTACACATGAATATTCGTCAGGGATTTTAGATCAAGCACGCGTTTAATTGTTCAAATTTCACTGCTCTGTGAAAAACTTGCAATGTAGATATGGGAATGACTAAATCAACCACAGGAAGCCAGACCGAAGTTTCAAAGTCTATCACGATAAAGGTTCTTCATCTGCACATTCTCAGACACATTAGAGGCTGGTGCAAGTCAGTAAGCTGTGTGGTAAACATTTTAGAGAAAAGCATTTTTTCTGGTGCAGAGAGTATTTCTGGTAAAAGCAGCTTTAACTACTATGTGTTTCATGATATTCATTATCTTATTTTTGGCCTAAAAATGATTGTTTGTCAAAAACATCACAAAGCAGACATTCATATATATGTAAAGAAAGGATCTTGACACTAAAATCAGAATATTTTTGGGGAATATTTGTTTATGTTTAGGAAGGAAATTCTCTTTTCAGATGTGCAGACAAGTGGGCAAATATGATTTAGCATGTTAGAAATGATCCATAAACTAGAGAAACATGCGTACATCTCATGTTGCTGACAAGAATCTGGCACCTATGTGACAGATTCCCATGTCTTATACCCAAGGATAAAACTCAGCTTAAAAGGTGCAGAGACATTAATGACACAGATGCTCAGTAATTGTGGGTGTTGACTTCCAATCAGCGTTATTTCCACTGATACAGCTGACACATTAATTTCTTCCTTTCATTAGATGTACAAGTGAAATGAGTCACAAAAGTGGTTGATCGAAACAAAAAATGTCACTGGGATCATTATTAGGTCTCCTTGGTAACACGAAATCCGTGTGGTACACAGCTGTGTAAGCACAACTGTGCACCTGGGTGGAGTGCCTCAGTGTAGAATAGAGGTAAAAGGTGCAGGGAACTGACCTAGGGAAGTGGGTGTTCTGTCCACCGCAGAAAAAAATAAAAAAACCTGTGATGGCTCACATGGCCTCACAGTGCATAACAATCTAATGGCAAACTTGATAATGTGCTGTCCCCTGCAGGTGGCTGATGGCATGGCCTTCATCGAGCAAAGAAATTACATTCACCGAGACCTTCGAGCTGCCAATATTCTGGTTTCTCATGAGCTCATCTGTAAGGTTGCTGACTTCGGACTGGCGAGACTCATCGAGGACAATGAATATACAGCCAGAGAGGGTAATGAGACCTTCCCTGAAAACACATTTATCATCGTCAGCACCAACCACGCAATGTTTTTTATTCTTTTTGAGTCTAAAATCTTGCGTCTTCTCTTACAAAAACAATGCATGATTTTTTTGTTCATAGGTGCAAAGTTTCCGATTAAATGGACCGCACCAGAGGCCATTAATTATGGCACCTTCTCCATAAAATCAGATGTGTGGTCATTTGGGATCCTCCTCACAGAGATAGTCACATATGGACGCATTCCTTATCCAGGTAAATTCTCACTCAATGTTCCTGGTTGATCACAAGTATGAAAACATGTAACCAAATTACTGGACTTTACTATAATTCATTATATGATATGTTTTAACTCTTATTCAGGTATGTCCAACCCTGAGGTCATCCAGAATCTGGAGCAAGGCTACAGGATGCCGAAGCCTGACAACTGCCCTGACGGGCTTTATAGCATCATGTGTCACTGCTGGAGGGAGACACCAGACGACAGACCCACGTTTGAGTATCTGATAAGTGTTCTGGAGGATTTCTTCACTGCCACAGAAAGGCAGTACCAGGAGTAGCTTTATTGGAGGGAAAAGACACAGTGACATACATTAAATATATTCAAACTAAAGGCACAGTTTGTGATAGCAGATGCTGGATTTTGACTTATTTACTGAAGAATTAAAGCCTTTCTATTGACAGGGTACAAACTGACGATGAATAAAAGTACTGTTGTACATCAAACTTATACTGTTAGCATATGCTACAGTCACCACTGGGAATATGGAGACGAAGATCAAAATAAGAAGAGATCGGACGACTTGCTGCCTGGAAAAACTGTTTTAGAAACATGTAGCTGCTGTCCTGGTGCATTTATTGTGTAAATATTGTTACCTGCTTTACCTACGCTGTCAACTAACTGTTTTAGCTCTATAGATGGATGTTGTTATTGTTGCTTTATGTTCAGAAGAAGGCACACCAATATTGTTGATTTTAAATTGCAATTAAAATAAAATACAAATGCGTTTAATACGTTTTCTGTTTATTTTTTACAAAGTATTTTACTTTTTATTCATAATTCACTCAGAATATGCAAGCATGAGGTGTATCATGAACACAAGTTCACACTTGACTTTTGGTCGTTTTGGTTACAAAATGTTATTTTTATTTAATCCTTTTGCGTCAATAAACCAGGTTTTTTATCCTGTGGTATATCTGATTTTCTTTTTCTTTTAAATGAAAACACCCCAACGGAGGACATGTATCATTTAAAGAGTCTACAGGTATGAGAACCAAGAATGTATCACACAGTCAGAGAAAAAAGGAATAAATAAGATGTTTAAGTCCAGGTCCAAAGATAAACGACCAGTAACAGATGTAAATAAAACAAATGCAAAATGACACGAGAAAGAAGCTTTGTGGTTGCGGAAAAAATATAAAATAACCACAATACTAACCCCTTATTATATTCGCATTATCTTTATCATTAGTATTGATTACCGTCGTCATTCACCGCGGTGCTCTGTCGCCCCCTGTCGGCAGCCGCCAACAGCTAGACTCGATACCGATTCTCCGCCTCCTGCCGCCGTTGTCTCCTGCGGTGTGTGTGTGCGACTGTGGTGGAAGCCAACCGAAAAGGACGCAAAAATGGCGCTTACTTCTCAAGGAACAAAGAAAAAAGTGTGCTACTACTATGACGGTGAGTAGAAAAGTGTCTCCCCATAACAGAACGGACGCACCGATGCTCGATATCCGACTCTTTGCACCCAACCGATTGTCCAGTTTCTTTCGCGTCTTGCTAACACGCTAGCTAACGGCTAGCTTGAGTCCCTGGCGGCACGGATCATCATCTCCCTCTGGCACAATGTTCCCTATTGGGCTATAATATTCTAATAACGATAACATTTGCCCTTAAATCCATAGTCGATTCTTAACATAATATTTGATTCAGATATTAATACTTTGATTGGGTTGATTAACCCCACGGTGTAGCGCGCTAACAATGGGGATGTGGGTAGTTCATTGTCAATACAGTTAGTTAACATCGAGCTAACACTCAAAAGGCTCGTCTTCCTACCGTCTGAAAGCGGAAGTTTTAAATAAAATTGACGTTAATCGGCTCATATATAAAAAAAAAAAAACCCTCCGTACCAGGGTAGTTAGTGTGTTTCATTAGAAACTGTCCTAGTTTCAGTCTCTTTATTGGAACCAGCCTCTGCCATGCATGATATTATTGATTGATGGATTCCTTAACTTCCTTTGTTTTGCATGAATTCCATCGTCACTTATATTTTTTAACTTAAGTCTTGTCATCCATAATATGTACAAGAAAAAATGAACATGCTCTGTTTTTTTCATTCTCTCTCCAGGTGATGTTGGAAATTATTACTATGGTCAGGGCCACCCCATGAAGCCCCACCGAATCCGCATGACACACAACCTGTTGCTCAACTATGGCCTCTACAGAAAGATGGAGATATATGTATGTAAAACAAGATAACGTAGTTGCATGTTGAAGTCACTTGATTGTGTGTCGGAGGATCTGAACTGTCCCCTCTGTTGCAGCGTCCACACAAAGCCAGCGGAGAGGAGATGACCAAGTATCACAGTGACGATTACATCAAGTTTCTGCGTTCCATCCGGCCAGACAACATGTCAGAATACAGCAAACAGATGCAGAGATGTAAGATTTGGCTGAGATGTTAGGATGACTGGATGAGCTTGCAAAGAGAAATATTAAGGCCTGTTCTGTGTTGTTGCTTTGCAGTTAATGTGGGGGAGGACTGCCCAGTGTTCGACGGCTTATTCGAGTTCTGCCAGCTCTCTGCCGGGGGCTCTGTTGGTAAGCAGCCTTTCCTTGAAAGCTGTCTTTGCTTCTGTATTCTGTTAAGTTCTGTGTAAACTGACAGACTTTTTCATTGCTCCAGCCGGTGCTGTGAAGTTGAACAAACAGCAGACAGATATTGCGATCAACTGGGCCGGAGGCCTGCACCATGCCAAGAAATCAGAGGCTTCTGGGTTTTGTTACGTCAACGACATCGTCCTGGCCATTCTGGAGTTGTTGAAGTGAGTCAAAAAGCCTGTTAAGTAGCTGAAGTATACGTTTTCTTTGGCTCCTCAAATTCTTTTGAAAGTGGTTAATGTTTCATTTGCGACTGCAAATGAATAATTAATAGAACTTGTAAAGAAACCCAAGATTCATGGCTCAAAAACTGAAATGAAATATTTTTCCGTCATTTCTAGATACCACCAGAGAGTTCTGTACATCGACATTGACATCCATCATGGGGATGGTGTGGAGGAGGCCTTCTACACCACTGACCGTGTCATGACTGTGTCCTTCCACAAGTACGGAGAGTACTTCCCAGGCACTGGCGACCTGAGGGTGCGTTTTAGATGGCTATACTACTTTAAAATACCAGGATGCTAATACAATGGGTTTGCCAAGTATACACTTTTATTCTTCCCTTTAGGATATTGGTGCCGGAAAGGGTAAATATTACGCTGTGAATTATCCTTTGAGGGATGGGATTGATGACGAGTCATATGAAGCCATCTTTAAACCTGTGAGTAATTCACCTTTTGCACTCGCCTGGCTCTTGACAGCATAGATAGACGTGTAATGTTAGGAAGGATCATTGAGAGCTGTCTGTGCTCGTCTGTGAAGATCATGGCCAAGGTGATGGAGATGTACCAGCCCAGTGCCGTGGTCCTCCAGTGTGGCGCGGACTCTCTGTCAGGAGACAGGCTTGGTTGTTTCAACCTCACCATTAAGGGCAAGTTGATTACAACATTAATTTTCAAGTGTGATGAGTACCCCCATGTGGACATGTATTAAATGTTTGACTGTGTGTTTAGGCCATGCCAAGTGTGTGGAGTACATAAAGAGCTTCAACCTGCCGCTGTTGATGCTGGGCGGCGGGGGCTACACCATCCGTAATGTGGCCCGCTGCTGGACATACGAGACTGCCGTGGCCCTCGATAGCTCCATCCCTAATGGTAAGTCCCTTTACCCATATAGTACTCCACAATTTGTTCAGTCAGCTGAACTTAGAAAACCTGCCCGCGCTTAACTTTTGTCATATTGCACACCTAGATTCTCTAGGATGAAGCCAAAGATTTGAATTTGCGAAATACTAATAAGAATTTATTGCTTTTTTATTTTGTTTTTAAGAATGGTAGAGAGAAATAGGTTCAAAAGCCCCTTTAGAGTACAAACGGTCACTGAGTCAGGATGTATTAATCTGAAAATGTATATTTTGCCCAAACTCAACAGAGCTCCCGTACAACGACTACTTTGAGTACTTTGGACCAGACTTCAAGCTGCACATCAGCCCCTCCAACATGACCAACCAGAACACCAATGACTACCTGGAGAAGATCAAGTGAGCCCCTAAAGCTATATTCAGAACGAGGGAAAAGTCTGATCATAAGGCAGATACAGCAGAGCCAGCTGGGGTTATTTTGTGCATTCTGATTCCTCTTTGAACTTTTCCACCCTAAAGACAGCGCCTGTTCGAGAACCTGAGAATGTTGCCTCATGCCCCCGGGGTCCAGATGCAGGCCATCCCCGAAGACGCTGTGCAGGAGGACAGCGGGGATGAGGAGGAGGACGATCCCAACAAGCGGATATCCAGTAAATGACAGATCAGAATGTGTTCAGCTGATGATGCAGAGCCGTCACATTCCCTGTTATTAACGAACCCCTGTCCTCTGATTCATTCAGTCCGCGCTCACGACAAGAGGATAGCGTGTGAGGAAGAGTTTTCTGACTCTGAAGATGAAGGCGAAGGCGGTCGCAGAAACGCAGCCAGCTTCAAGAAAGCAAAGCGAGCCAAAACCGAAGGAGAGAAAGAGGGAGAAGAAAAGGAGAAGAAAGGTGAGGAGGAACCACAAGGTATCGATTGATTTTTTTAACTTTTATCCTTATCGCACTCTTACTTACTTGTTTTCCAAATCTTCTATGTATTGGAAGAGTTCATATATTTTAATAAGAGGTGTGATTCTAGCTTTGAGTTTTTCTTTTATTTACAGAAGTAAAAGAAGAGGAGAAGGTGCCAGAGGAGGAGAAAATGGACACCTCAAAGTGAGAAAGCACCGCACACACACACTGACCGTGCTGTCCCGGAGGTTGCTCACAGGGAGCCTTAACCATTTTCTTCCTCTGGCTCCTTTAGGCCGAAAGAGGAGTCCAAGACACCCTAAAGTCCTCAACACCCAGTGGTACCAGTATCAGTGCAGCTCTTAAAGCAAGATGCCCCCCTGGATCAATAGTATTTTTGGATTCCTGCAGTGGAAATCAACCAGGACTGTACCCTTTTTTAAATGAGCTCGCTCCCTCAGAGTGGGATGGAGATCAGAATGTTTTTAGGTTTGTTTTTCCTTTCTAGAAAACCTTTGTAACTTTGCTGTTTTGGCTGGAAGTCCACTCTCAACTTGTTTTTGTAAGGATTTTCGTTTTGTTTTGCTTTTTCTTTTGGTTCACTGAATCTTTTTATGCTTTGATGAATGTTTTGTCCTTGTGAACAACTCTGTAAAAATGGCTGAGCACATGTCAGTTTTATATATCTGGATTTAATTTATTTAAGTCATAGATATTTTGGCTATTATATTAGTCTTTTTCCCCCAATTTTGTCCTGTGCCTTTGATAATGTAGTTTAAGCATGTTGATATTATAGATCTTGTTCTGTATTATGTCTGTGTCACTGGTCTTGAATGCCAAAGTCAGTGAGAGGCTGCATAGTCCTGAACATTTTTTTTTTTTTAATTTGTTTATTTTTTACAAGGGACATCTTGGGAATCCTGATTCATAATTTTAGAAACGTTCCATTTTATAAAAATGGCGAAGTTTAGAATCCCCTGAGCAGAACAAGACAAATGTCAGAATGCATTCACTGTATATATTTTTATTCTCAAAACAATAGTAAACATGTTCCAAAAAAGCCTCCAAATGTCATTTACATTGACCACACTGAAGTTTAGTTTTAAATAAGGTAGATTGTTTTTAATGGCAGAGGAATTTTTATATAGTAGAATGTCTAACAGTTCAAAATGACATTGAACTTGACGATCCAGATGGACTACTTTCAATTATAATACCAACAAAATCACAGTAGTTTAGACCAAATGACAGTAACGTTTTTTCATATAACTGCTTTTGAGCGTCATAAACTGTAAAATGCCACATGTTGCTGGCTTCAAAAAGCATTCAGTGCATATGGACACATACTCTGGTGCCCCCCACCTGCACACACACACACACACACACACAGGGCTTTATCCACCAGAGAGCAGTACTTTGTCACCGGTTATTAGTTCTAACAGATCACAGCCATTCGCTCTGCTCTGCCACAGCGCCACCGTCCAGCAGATCGTCCTGCTCTGCAGGCTCCTCCTCAGAAGCAGCCTCTGTAGGTGGACGTGACATCGGAGTCTCAGCTCTCTGGATCCGCACCTGCAACATGTCGGGTACACTCAGTGAAGAACTCTGCATTCATTACATACTAAAAGCGCAAAACACGACCAGTATAATTGTGATGGCGGATCATAGAGAAGATACTGGGGCGTAGAGAAGGAATTTTCTCTTAAAAGTTTGTAATTATAATCTTACATTGCAATCGCCACTTGTGTCTGTGACAAATAATGAAGGCTAGGCTTTAAGTTACACTCGACAAAGTCGCTGATCTGGTGTCAGCTTACCCTCTTAGCCCGGAGGGGCTTCTTCCTACACGGACAAAGGTAGAGGAAGGACGCGCTGACAGCAAAGCAGCGGAAGGCGAACACCAATTCCACAATGGACATCGTGATAAGAAGCACCCACAGAATGATGGTGGTCGTCTGCGGGACAGTACAGACACAAGTCATCACTAAATACTAAAAATCACTCAAGCCTAAATATCCAAATCTGCACATGGAACAGATGCATGTTACTTACATAAACACGGGTGGGATCAAAGGGGCATTCGGTTGTGATGCTTGATGAGGTGATAGTTATATTGGACTTGTTGCAGTGAGTTAGAAGGATTGATCCTTTGTGGATAATGGCTCCCACCAAAGAAACTATCAAGCCCACGGCAGAGGCAACCCCCAGCAATCCTGCCAGGAGGCTGAGGACCAGAAGAACCCACTTCTGAATGGACAACAGATGTTAGAAGTTAGACTTTCCTTTTTAATCAAATATGCTGTTAAGCAGAGGCCAGCTGATTGCGTGAGACAAGACATTCATATGTAACAGGAAAAAGTTATATAGGAATTGATAGATAACATTTTTGTCAGATGTCAGTATGTTTTTGATAACAGTACCCAGTCAGAGAAATTGTTTTATTTTTCAATACTACCCTCACAGCTGTTCTCATGTTCCTATATTCTGGCAGTCTGTAATGTTTCTATTCATGAGGTTTATTTGTGATGATAGGGTTAAGTGGTTTATACAGAATTTACATTAAAAGAAGAAAAAGAGTAGATAGAGTAAATATGCATGCTTTCAGTCAATGAAAATAGGCAAGTTCTGACAGGAGGCAGCACATGACACATGCTGAATGGAAGTGGGAGAGGGGAATGGTATTTACCAGGATCTTGCTTTTCTTGTTTTTGGACAGGACAATAGCCATTATTCCACAAATGATTCCCTAAAGGGACACAAGAGTGAGTCATTAGTCTTAGCCTGGTGAGGGAATGATGGGATAGAAGGAGAACATTTAAAAAATACATTCACACCATTTTCCCTGCGATAAAAAAGTGCTGTTGTATGCAACCGCTTACCACCAGGCCTGCCACAATAGAAATGACATTTGAGATGCCATACACCATGGATCGGGCCGTAGAGTCCACGTTGATGTGCCTGAGCACAGCGCCGAGCACCAGTGCTCCCAGGAGAAAGTTGACGTGACCCACCAGCACCAAGGCCAGCCCCATTTTCATCAGGGCCTTGTTGTCCTTGAGGCTGGCACAGCATATTCCTGGAAGAAGCCAATTCAAGAGAATTCAGGCCTCATAACTTTAACTTGATACTGAGCATTGCGATTAAAAAAAAAACAAGTACATCACGGTGGCACTGTGTGTTTCAGACTGGGATCCGAAGCGTGCAAAGAGCCAGTGTTTGTTCTGAAAGGAGACTCAGACAGCACGCCCGCTAAAACAGGTTCACCCACATGATTTCTGGGGTAACTTGCAACCTTGCAACGGAGGTATCGGGAGAATTTCTGTGACTTTGATGCAGAGATGAGGTTTCAACGTAACACAAAGGAAGTGGTTTGAACTTCATGACAACCCCCCCCCCAGAAGGCGCAGTGCAGCTACCACAACCCCCCCACCCCCCACCCCCCTGCCCTGACTCTGCCGAGGCGGCTGAGATCATCCAGCTCACGTCTAAACGCCGCAGCTATGGTAGTAGTGCTGCTTTGGGAGGTACGATATGGTATCTGTTTCCTTATTTTGTAAGATGTCTAAACACCCGCATGCAGGGGCCTTGTAAACCAATCCTAAGCCAGACAGGACAAAGCATTGGGTGTGGGGCGTTCAAACATTCACCACCACATTTGCCTGGCCTGAAGGGTCAGGTGGGATCAGATAACCGCTGCTGGACTCCCATTCATTCCTCCATATGGGTGTGAAGAGAACAACGTTTCCAATGTTTCTGGTCATAATACTGTTACTAACCATGTGCTTGTTGTCATACATTATCAGTATAGTGGTTAAACCTTGTGAAAACCCATTGAATATATTTTTATCTTTACATTAATGTATCTTACATATATTAATAGGCTCTAATACTCATTGGAATTCAGATGACAAGTTGCCCTGGAAAGGCTCCATGCTGTAGTGTAAGTTTATTTATAAACCTTTACCAACTAACATCCCAGTGTTTCACTTTTACACATCAGAAACGAAAGAAAATCTAAATAAAAACGGCTGGATACGTATTTAACAGTTAGAACTGCGTTTGTGGAATTGGACAAGAAACATGTGCAATCTTCCTCACTGAAGCCCCGTTTACTTACGCCAAGACCACGCCTAAAAACTTGACAACAATACAACTACAAATAAAACACTGTACCCAGACATTTTCATAAAGCACGCGCCACGGCCAGCCTACCTGAACTCCCCATGATGGATTGTATGTCCCCTTTGACCACTGCTTCTATTGCAAAAGCTGTATCATAGTCATGTTTGACAGTTTTCTGACGCTACGGCTTTGCTCGGTCGTTAACTTCCTTGACGAAAGTCTACCTGAGGACAGGAGGGGGCGGGGCTCCACCTGAGAGGAGGCCCCGCCCCCATAGCCAAAGGGAAGAGTAGTTCACCGGAAAAGATACCACAGGGAATTATTCACACCAGAGCTCAGAGCTAATCCAAATAGTTTAGGACCTGAATATTTTAACTGATGATGGCAGGTTTGTGTTGTTCTTTCAAAATAAAGCAATTTGAGTTGTCTTCCTTGGCCAATCCGTGCTATTCCAAATGGGCATGGTTCACAGAAAGAGAGAGAGAAACCCAAAAGTAAAAGGATTTATTTCGTCCATCAGGTTATTTATACTTAGTACTTAATTTATACAAAGTCATATCTATTATTGACGAAGAACCTACCCGATTATAGAAACACATAATTAGTCATTCTAATTTATTTTGGGGGTGATTAATGGAAATAATGATATGTTAACAATTAATTGACTGACTTGTCTTTTTTGTCTTTTTTCATTAGTTTGTTTTATGTTGTTGACTATCACACTATTACACGCATTATAGTGAGAAAGAGGAAATCAGTTATGCAAAGTTTGCTTTGCATGTTTCCACAAATCATCACAGCCAGAAAGAATAAGTGAGAGGAGATTACGCTGCCATCTTGGCAATCATCAACTCTTTCATAGGAGTTGATCCTAATTAGGCCAATTGCGGTCAGGAATAGCATCATTAAAATGTGTGTTAGAAAATGTTGTATTTATTTATTTATATTTTAATAATTGTTGAATTTCTAATGTCACAAAAAAGGTGATGAAAATACGACAGACTTTTGCAGATGGAAAACATTTGAGATTCTTTACTCATGTAACTGGTCAGCCTCATCAGCCTGATTGCCTCCACCTGTGGCTCTTGCAGCAGCTCTTTATTAATGACTCACATCTGTTGGTGGAGAAGCAAGAATCTGTTACCCACTTTGAGCCTCACAATGGGGACACTACTGCTACTGCTTTATGGTTTTCTTGGCCATTTCTTTGCTGCAAACTGTTTTGTGGAATATGAGGATGCCATGTATCCTGACGATTATGAAGTATTTCTTGAAAACGATGGACTTTTTCCTTTTGAGACCGAGTTTGATTTCCCTCCATTTGACACCATTTTCAGCTCGTGGCAAACCTTGATCCCTGACATCCGCAGGCTTGCTGAATTTCCTCCCATCATGAATGTTCCAAGAGTCCAGGTGTCTTGTGATGAATCTAAGCTAACCCTGTTGGTTGATAAGAAATCCTTCGGCCGCATGCTGACCAAAGAGGAACTACTGCTGGGTGATGATTGCTACAGCAACAAAGAACTACCTAACCAATTTGTCTTTGTTTATGACTTTGATCAATGTGGAACTACATCTACAGTGAGTTTAAGGAAAACTTATCGATGCAATTGCTATAGTCATAGACTCTGATTCACTCCCCCTTTTTTGTTTTTCTTGTCTCCCCACAGCCTCACAATGGCCTGCAGGCATTCACCAACTCGCTCCATGTGAATCTTAAGAAAAGCCTTCCCACCCTGTCGCAGACACCCCCTGCTGTTCATGTCTTTTGCATTCCCAAAAGGTGTTTTTTTTTTTATTTCAATTTTTTTATTTACCATTAGAGCCACAACTGTTGTCAAACTCTACTTGAATGCCATGCCTGTCTCTCCAGGTCAGCTGAGACTCTAAACTTCAATCCTCATGAAACTACTGGGAGCTTCAGTATTCAAGCTATGAATCGTGAGTAATGCCACAAATGGAGCTCCATCCAAATGGATTTTTAAAAAACGTATATATATATATTTCTCCTGCAGCATCTTGGACTGACACAGCTGAAACTAATCTCTATACAAGAGGCCAGATGGTTAACCTCCAGGTTTCAGCCAAAACCAGGCCAGATCAGCAGCTTTTCATCCAGTCCTGTTTTGTTTCTGCATCCCCTGAGCCTCAGACAAGACCCAGGCATGCAGTTGTATTAAACAAAGGGTGAGTGGTCATCTTCCAAGTTATTTATTTATTTTTTTTACATTTTCTTTATTTCAAACTTTCTAATAGCCATTGACTTGTTAGGTGTTCATCGTCATTGGGATCTCCAAATACTGTTACGCGGTTTGCAGCTTCCAGCAGTGCACATGTGGTTAACTTGATGTTGAATACATCCTATCTCACTTCTGAGGTGAGCTTTGTATCAAAATGGATTGTTTCAGATGCTTGACTGTGCCCTAATGACCTATTATCTCTTTAGCTGTATGTCCACTGTAGTGTGTTCATCTCTGACAAGGGTGTAACCTCAGGCTCCAAATTATGCAACTACAATGCGATCCAGTCAAGGTATTTGTATGCACCTTCTGCTGGGTTTTCATTCTCCAAGTATGACACTGAAACTGATTTCAGGTGGGAAGAGCTGAGTGGTGCCATGGAGGTTTGTGACTGCTGCAGCTCAAAGTGTAGAGGTGCACTGGCAAAGTACCTACCTGAGGGTGAGTTCTTGGGTTTGTTGAAGTGCAACTTTCTGGCTCTGAATAGTGACTCGCTACATTTGCTCTCAGGTACCAAGGCTGTAATCAGTCTTGGCCCCTTGGAGGTTGTGGATGGTGATGCAGGTCCTGCAATTTTGGACCCTACACAAACTCCCCACACTACTTCATACAACTCTATGCAGTCTGATCCTGCTGAAGACCACATGGTATCTGGTACTTCTGTATTTACAAGTGATCTTGTGTCCTCGCCAGACGGGGTCATTGTTGTAAGTCAGGACCCATCTGCCAGGCTAACACTCTGGCTACCTGGACATGTGGTCACAAATTATGACACCACTCTTACTTCACACCCTGAAAAAGAATTCTCAGATCAGATGAAACAAAGTGATGGTCCAGGTCATCATGATCATCAGCCTGCAAGCACAGATGGAGCTGGTTTGAATTCACCCACAAATAAGGTTGACAGTAACTTGTCAGATGAATATAAAGACGACTCCTTGTGGGAAACCCATTTACCTCCAGTGGCTGGATGGCTGGCTTCTGCACAACCTCAAAATGCATTTTCAACAGAGGAATTCCATTCAAACGAGCCTGGAAGTTCTAATGCAGAACATGCACAGGGGGCCCTTTCTCTCGCAACTGAGATGAGTATAAATGCGTTTGAAAAGACGAAACCAGTTGCACTGGATGAGCCTTTTGCAGAGGAACCCCAAAATAAATGGCTGGCTACTGAAACTACTGTAAAGGACATTCAAAGTGACTTGAACCCTGAGAGTGAGCTGCCTCAGATGGATGCAGCTGTGCTGCATGAAGATGTAGATGACCAACCAATAATTCGCTCAAAACTGGAGTTTTCCAAAAAAGCAGATGGGTCACAGACACTGAGTTATGAGGAAGAAGTGAAGCACCCAGATAGAAAAGGCACTCTTAGACGCGTGTGGGATGAGAAGAGAAAACGGGACTCTGGAGCAAAGAGGCTACACTCAACTTTCCTGAATCTATTGAGGTATGACTTTCTTTCTCTTGCATATTTGTATGCATTTCATGTGACCTGACCACATCTCTCTTATCCATCAGGAGGATGGAGAAGGCAGAATGACACAAAGTTCTCCTGAGTGATTAAATAAACATGATTTGCAAAAGTGTGTTTCCCACCCTTCTTACCCCTCGTCTCTCCCCCCACCACTTGGTATAGTTAATTTCAAAAGCCCTTGGTGGTCCTGAAATGCTGTCTCGGTACCTTAAGCATTCCCACCCAGGTGTCGCTGTGGGGAGTTGGGCTGTGTAGTTGGGGGCAGTACAGTGTGCGCTCTCCCTTTTACTCCGCATGCTCAGTTTATTCCTATCCCAAGTTTGACCCTGGCCACTATTTCCTCCGCACCGTTGCACTATAAAGTGCCCATGCTTTCCTCACGCAGTCTCTTTCCCCGGCCACAAAACGACCGTGAGTGTCCAACTCACCGTTCTTGGAAAAATTTAAAATAAAAACAATATAAAAATTATAAAATCTACAAAATCCTAATAAAAAGTGCCGTAATGTTAAAAGAAATATAAAGATTTAAAAAAAAAAAACTGCAAACAGCTAAAATAGGAAAAAAAAACATCCTCGGGCTTAACCCACAGTTGGCATCTTTAAGCGAAAGGAATAACATTTATCTAAAGCGTGACTTTTTTTTTTTTTTTTTTAAAGATTTTTTTTCTTTTTTTTTTCCTCAAGCAGCTGTCCGCACTGAGCGTGTCTTTTTGGGGAAACTGTCGCGCAATTCGGGTCGGGATAACGGTTTTTAGCTCAATTAATTGAGGACAACTTTTCACACATTCTGTGAATCCAAGATATGAACACAGCGACAGGGAGCTATCCGATGGCTTCTCTCTACGTTGGCGACCTGCACCCCGACATCACGGAGGCTATGCTGTATGAGAAATTCAGCCCAGCCGGACCGGTGCTCTCCATTCGGGTGTGCCGGGACATGATCACCCGGCGCTCCCTCGGATATGCTTATGTCAACTTCTCTCAGCCTGCAGACGGTAAGAAACGAGACGTCTGTGATGATCACTGTGCAGTTAAGTCAAAATAAAAGAAATGGAATTCGTGCATTTGCCAAATCCCAACCGTTCACCATTGCCTTTTTAATTTATAAGATGTTTTCACTGGTGTTTTCTAAGCTCTTGCACAGTCATGACAGCTCCTCAGACTGGTTTGGGAAATCATTTGGCCTATATATGCATGTCCCAGTTCTTACTGACTACCATAAGCAACATGCCTACAATCTCTACACAGCAAAGCTGAAAAGGCTAAGTTTGATCTGCCCTTTAAAAAGCTGATGGAACTGCTTCATATCAAGCATTCACTTTGCTTGATTCAGAATATAGTCACTTTCCTTGCCCTACTTCTAAAATCCAAAAGTAACCCATTTATTCTATTTAAAGGGACACATTCATTAAGCAGGGGAAGAGAGAAGCACATCTGAACCCTGTATTGCTTTCTGGAGCTACAGATTATGTGTCGGATTATTAGTATCAAATGCTATCCTGCTTCTGTTTTGAGTTCATTCTGCAGATTCAGTGGATTGTGATAAATTAAATCCTGATATGTCATAGCATGGCTACAGCTGCTTGTCCCTTGTCGATCTACTATGAGACAATGGTGAGGTGATCTATAACGTGTGTGTGTAAACGCCTGTACCAGTGATGTCTTTTTCGTGTCTCCATTTGGAGCCGATTGGGTTCAATGGTGTCGTATCATTGAGCAAAGGTAGCAGGTGTAGTGACAGTTGTCCTGTAATTGGTGGCACCCTCTTCTTTGTGTGAACTGTTCTCCTGTTGTGTCAACAAAAACAGCTGTGGCTCAGCTTATCGGTGCTGTTACCTAAAGCCCAGCCTATAGGTGATAGCAGGATCATTTCTTGGAAGTGTGAGACAAATGGAAAGAAACCATTTGTTGTTTCTGCTCAAAACATGTCAGGCCAAGCAACGTAAATGCTCAGGGCACGTGTTTGGCATGTAGAAAATCTGCCTGCCTAAAGAACGCAAATTAAATGAGATTTTAGAGCAGATGTTTTGAGTGCAGGACGTTTGGGGGAAACAAAACTGTGGTTAAGGTTGATGGCAATCTCTAGATTTCGTCACTTGTATGTTTAAACACTCAGCAGACTCACTGTTGCTCCTCTGAGCAATTTATTGAACGTATTCCTTCCCCATCAATGGCAGAGAATGCTCTACTCCCACTCCATGCCAGCACATACCGCTCAGGACCCCTCACTATATATAGAGCTTTCTTTGAGCAGCCAAAAATTTGCCTGCTCCATGACACTTAAGCGGCAAATGGTCAACAATAAGCAGTTATTCGACACACACTCCCCCTGACTGTTTAGCATCTAAAATGGCATCAGTAACACATGGTGGATTTGATTGTGTAACATAAATAATTTTGGCCTTTTTTTTTACATAAAAAATCTAATTTGAGGCTTCCAGAAGTCCACACGTTTGACAGCAAGCTCACACCTTCCCTGAGCACATGGATTGTGAAGTACAATTGCAAGCCAAACTGCTGATGCCAGCAGACGCAAGGGAGCTCCGTTTTGTTTACCAGACACTTTTAGCTGGATAGCCTGGCCTGTGTGTGTGTGTGTGTGTGCGTGTGGCTTACTGTGGAGTGAGTGAACAAAAGGATGTTTGGCATGTGTGCCCACACTAACATGGGAGCTGAAGCAATAGAGTAAAAATGGCACGGATTGGTTTCCCTGGGCCTAAATAACAGAGCGGGTGAAAACGTATCCAGCAGTGTGAGCATATCGTGTCTGATCTGTACCATTTTTCTAATTAAAACCGAATGTTGGGGCCCTGCTGCACAGCTATTCTAAGTAGCCCCCCCAGCAGGCGGTTTGTCAGAGAGGGGAGACATGTGCTCACAGCTTGCCCATTGCAGCTGCCTCACACTTGTCCCAGCAGCTGGCAGACAGCTCAATAGCCACATGGTCTACTGCAGTATCCTAACTGTGTGCCTTGTTAACAGCGCTGCTGTTTGGATTCACTGTCGTACAAAGTTGTTTTAAACCACCCAGCCATAGCTTGGTGCTGATGCTCCGGATAACTTTATGCTCTTTGTTGCCCCAAACATGTGGCACAACAGAAAGAAAATTCTACACGGTGGAAGTAACAGCATGTTATCAGAGATCGGTCCCCACGTGACCTCTTTCTTCTCCCCCTAGCCGAAAGGGCCCTGGATACCATGAACTTTGACGTGGTGAAAGGGAAGCCGATCAGAATCATGTGGTCCCAAAGAGACCCCTCCCTCAGGAAGTCAGGTGTGGGCAACGTGTTTATCAAGAACCTCGACAAGTCCATCGACAACAAAGCCCTGTACGACACCTTCTCTGCCTTTGGCAACATCCTCTCCTGCAAGGTACAGCTTTCATAACTAAGGATTTGACACACACGTCCATGACTCGTCCAAGTCATTTTACCAAGTGTCTGAAAGTTCTGCAAAGTCCAAAAGTGAATGCTTACTTGCGGATCTTCCTCTCTTCCAGGTGGTGTGTGATGAAAACGGGTCCAAGGGCTACGCTTTTGTCCATTTTGAGACTCAAGATGCAGCTGATCGTGCCATTGAGAAGATGAATGGCATGCTTCTGAATGACCGCAAGGTGTGAGTGTCTGATCATCTTGTTCTGGTTTTGGGGTTTGAGAGCCGGGACCTTTTTATGTTTCTCCTGAACCGTGCGCTCGTTCAGTAAACTGTTAAAATGCACACGCTGCTGTGTGCACTGAGGTTCTGTCAGTAATGGTAAAGGTTTTGTGCAATGTTCATAAATTTCTGTTGAATGTTTAATCCTGTCTCTTCTACATTTGTGGTCAGTGAACTGACTTATTATGTTTTGTTTTGCTTGTTGTGGTGAGTTTGTGTGTGAATAATGACTAATATACTCATCTCTTACTTTTGCCAGCTCAAAGGCAGCCTCTCAACTCCGAGACAACCGACTAAAATCTCTGCCACTCTTTCCTACCTCATGCATTTTTTTGTTGCCTCATTTGTCCCCTCACTGGTCACCCATTGCAGAGTTTGAACGTGTGTGTGTGTGTGTGTGTGTATGACCATGCTTGTGTGTTTTAGTGATGGATCAAATGCAGGAATGCAATACTGGATGGCAGAAGGGCAAAGGTCATCGTAGAAAGGTATATAAGCTAATTTGGTCCTCCTCAGCTTTCCTTTTTACTGTGAGACTGTGTTCCTCCGTCCCTCTCCATCCACCTCCTCATCACGTTTTGGACCAAGAATTAAGATGGTTATCACAGTGATCTCTAGCATGCCAACATATCCGCTTGTCTTGGGTGACCTTTATGGAAGCTGTATTTTTTTCTATTTATTTCTATTTTTATTTACATCATTGTTGTTCCCAGGAATGCCGCGTCTTTCTTGATGAAATGTAGCTGTGAATGTGTCTTGTGGATGTTGCCCTTTTTTGGTGCTTGTGGAAACTACTTCTAACTAAACTGTGATTTTAGATCAAGATAATAACCTAGTGGAGCCTAGTTTGTTTTCTCAGCTTTGTCAAGACTGCTTTAAGAGAAAGTCTTTTGGCATTTGTCCTTCATGCTCAGGTTTGTCGGCCGTTTCAAATCCCGCAAAGAACGGGAGGCAGAGCTTGGTGCCAAGGCCAAGGAGTTTACCAATGTTTACATCAAGAACTTTGGGGATGACATGAATGACGAAAGGCTCAAGGAACTTTTCGACAAATATGGTAAGTGGAGGACGGTCCCATGTGAGTTTTTAAAGTCAAGATGGGCCACGTCACCTCGGCATTTTTGTCTTTTTCAGGTAAAACTCTCAGTGTGAAGGTTATGGCAGACTCCTCTGGCAAATCCAGAGGCTTTGGATTTGTCAGCTATGAGAAACACGAGGATGCTAACAAGGTACTTTATATTTAAAGAAATGGGTCAAAGATGTATGTCCGAGTTTTACGACTTTTTAACAGATGAATGTGTCTTGGTCCAAAGGCTGTCGAGGAGATGAATGGCACTGAGCTCAACGGCAAAACTGTGTTTGTGGGAAGAGCTCAGAAGAAAATGGAGCGGCAAGCCGAGCTGAAGAGGAAGTTTGAGCAGCTGAAACAAGAGAGGATCAGTCGATATCAAGTCTGTAGAAACTATGTCCTCTGTTAATCTTATATTTCTTTCAGACCACATCAAAGAGGGTGATTATTTTAGTTTTTGTCTCTGTTAAAGTTTGCCTCTATTTTCAGGGAGTTAATCTTTACATCAAGAACTTGGATGATACCATAGATGATGAGAAATTGCGTAAGGAGTTTTCTCCATTTGGCTCCATTACAAGTGCTAAGGTGAGAGAATCCATGTCAATGGTTTGAAAAGTGAAATATTTAGTGTTCTAATTGTGCTATTGTGAATATTTTTTTACAAAGCTGAAAATAAAAAGAGATGTAATTACAGATGGATTCATACAATATCAACTTTTTAAATGGGACTGTATCTGGTTCTAGGTGATGCTAGAAGAGGGCCGTTCAAAGGGTTTTGGCTTTGTCTGCTTCTCTTCCCCTGAAGAGGCTACAAAGGCCGTGACTGAGATGAACGGGCGCATCGTTGGCTCCAAACCCCTCTACGTGGCCCTCGCTCAGCGCAAAGAGGAGCGAAAAGCGCACCTCACCAACCAGTACATGCAGCGCATAGCTGGCATGAGGGCCATGCCAGCTAATGCCATTATCAATCAGTTCCAGCCCACTGGTGGCTACTTCATGCCAGCTGTGCCTCAGGTGTGAGAATCTGAATTTCATATTTGAACTGGTTTTTTATTCTTATTAAAATGGATTGCTTAATATAAAAGAATCACTTCTGATGATCTAAAAGACATTTTAAAAATGAATAAATCAGGTGTATGGGGATAAAACTTAATTCATGTTGGTAAACTACTCAGTTGGATTTAGTGTGGAATTATTTCTGATTTCGCAGAATTTTGGACTATTAGCATAAATTGAGTAAGTTGTTTCATTTCAGAATAAACTTATTAGGTCAAATAAGCATGTTTATTTTTGCTAGATGATGCATTTCCGTTTGTTGTGCTCATTAGGCCCAGAACAGGACAACATACTACGCACCCAATCAGCTGGCCCAAATTAGACCCAACCCCCGATGGCAGCAGCAAGGTGGCAGAGGTCAAGGTAGGCACGTGGCGCACAGTGTCGTTTCGTATGTTAAACGTAATATTTTGAAGTACATCCCTTTTTAAAGCTAACATTTAATTAAGTATTTTTCTTTCACTCCACCTTTGTCTCTTAGGAGGTTTCCAAGGTATCCCCAGCTCGCTGCGTCAACCAGGTCCTCGTGCCAACCTGAGACACATGAGCCCCAGCAGCAGTGCACAGGGCCCAAGAGGTCTACTTATTGAAATGAAAAATCTGTTCTCTGATGCTATTCTACGAAGTGGATTTTCTTAAGTAAATTTGTCACTGCTTTCTTTTTTTTTCCCCCTTCACTGCTAGGTGCAGGTCAGGCCATGGCTCCTCGTCCATCGATGGGCGTCCCTGGGCCCCGGGCCATGCCTCCATACAAATATGCCACTGGTGTCCGTAACCCCAACCCCCAAGTGGTGCAGCCTATTGCTTTACAGCAGGTATTATATCATCATCCTGCCATACTAAACATCCAAATCTATAAATACTCTTCTTCTTCTTAAAATGATTGTCTGTCCCTTCCAGACTCAACCGGCTGTGCATGTACAGGGCCAAGAACCTCTCACTGCCTCCATGCTGGCTGCTGCGCCTCCTCAGGAGCAGAAACAGATGTTAGGTGGGAGTCATTTTCAAAGCACATTAATTGTTACGACTGTTTGCCTTTGATTAGGTTCATCTATGCTCACTTCATTTATTTCAACACAGGAGAGCGTCTTTTTCCACTGATCCAGGCTATGCACGCCAACCTTGCGGGAAAGATCACTGGCATGCTGCTGGAGATTGACAATTCTGAACTGCTACACATGTTGGAGTCTCATGAATCTCTGCGTTCAAAGGTACCTCATATTGTGACATGCCAGTGAGTCTTTTGTCTGCACGAAACAGTGTGGAAATCATATTGGATGTTACGTCTGTTCAGGTAGAGGAAGCTGTTGCTGTTCTGCAGGCCCACCAAGCAAAGAAAGATGCAACCCAGAAAGTGGGCAGCATGGCTACTACTGCTGCTGCATCATCCTGAAGACTGCATGATGTATTAACTTAGTATGACATATACACAACTACTAAGCTAATCATATTTGCTAATTTGACTGTTATTTTGTGATACTAATGAGAAGTTATTGTGTTCTTTCAGGGCATATAAATATAAGCGCAGATGGACAAAGACAAACTACAATAAGTCCTCTGAGTCTTCTGAACATTTATGAAAAAAATCAAATTTTAAAATATACTTGAACATTTTGACAACTATTACAGTGCATAATTTTCTAGTGTAATAATTTTAAACTACATACCAAAAGAAATAATGCAAATAAATATTGAATACAACTATTTTGTGGCAAAGGACAGAAACCTTTTCTAAAAGGAAAATGAGCCTGGTTCTTTATCTTTGCTTGAAACATTCACGTTTGATTTGAAATGATGGTCTCCTCCATCCTATCATGTTATCATGGGTGTGTGGTATTCTCAATAAAGGGGTGATGTATCCAAGTGGTCTCTTGTTATTTAAGAGTAACATGTAAACTGTTTAATAAAAAGCAAGAGTGTATGAATGTGAGTGACCCTCGCGAGTCCCAATTAAGGAGAAGAACAGAATAGAAACAGACAGAAATAAACATATGTTGCTGACTGGTATGAATATTTTAAATGACGACAGCAGCGTGAGAAAGAGAAAATAATTTTAAGTTGGAATCTTGCTCCAAAGCATCATAGAAAAAAACATTATCTTGACTCCAAGACTTCATTTTGGTGTGCTTTAAGTTCCAAGAAAGTTGGCAATTTGAATATGATATTAATCATTAAATATATGCACCAGGTTTCCACAGAATTATGCTGTTGTAATACAGGAAGGAAGTCAATCAAATCTTGGCAATGTCTTATGAATCTACCTTCGCAGAACATTTTACACACCATCTAACGTCTGTCAAATCAGAAGGTCATTTGGGGGAACTATGTAGTTAAGCTAACGTATATACATATTATGGAGAAGAAGGTTGAAAGCAGATAATCGTGAGTTACACTGAGTGAGGATAAAGGGACAAATAATTTTAGAAAATCACAGTCAGCAGTAGCTCAGCGTCAATAAGGACAGTTGGACCAAAACTGAGATGGGGTCACCTAAAGTTTGACAACCTGCCAATGATGAAAACTAAAATGAACACAATTATTTATTTATATTGACAGCTGCTTTTCGCCTGAGATACCTTGCATGAATAATCAAATCTATGATTGATGACCAATGAAAACCTTGATTGACAGGACATTGACATTCTTACATAATTGGTAAGTGGTGTCATTTAAAAGAGAAAAAGACTATTGATACGACGAGGTCATCCTTGAATATTTACATCCCGGTAGTTTCTTGAACGTGACTAGAGAATAAAAAAACAGTCGAATAGTCTACATTTCGGTGTCGGTTAAAATAAAAAAGGCCAAAAGGCGGCGCTGTCACTTACTTTACCAGAGAGGCGGGCTTTACATTCGCTGCACCAATCAGCAGTCGGGGTCATAGTTGAGAGGCTAAAACCAAAATGGCGGCCAATAAACGGGTGCTTTATATTGGTGAGTTTTATTTAACGTAGTTTAAAGTTCGATAAACTTAATAATAGTTACTTTGTTGTTAGTGTAGCAAAAAACATTTGAAGTATTTTAAACCAGTCATAATGATAATAAATTGTTAATTCGGTGCGTGTAGGCTATATTGAAAACACATTTCAGTGGTACTTCAATGATATTTCGCTGGCAAAGTTCCAAACAGCAGCCTTGTGAATTTGCTTCGTTTCACAAAATATGGAGAAAGTAACATACTCCAACAATTCCTTTAGACTCCATTACCTGGCGTTATTTATTGAATTTAAAATGATTTAGGAATAGTTGGGGGAAAGGCATAAGTTAAACGGTTGAATGAGTGTATATATTTTGTCTGTTTTTTGTTTTACAGAGATTAGCATGATTTAAGCATCAATGATCTGCTTTGTGTGTTTCTGTCAGGTGGCTTGGCGGAAGAGGTGGATGAGAAGGTATTACATGCAGCTTTTATTCCGTTTGGGGATGTCACAGACATCCAGATACCCCTCGACTATGAAACGGGTAAGATAAAGTATTTTCGTCCTGATGGCTGCAGCTATCATCTATTGCACTGCAAACTGTTGACAACTGTACTGTTGATGTTTTGTGCTCATTTGCAGAGAAGCACAGGGGATTTGCATTCATTGAATTTGAGCTGGCAGAGGTAGGTTTAAATTCAGTCGTATTCGTGTTAATTCACTTTTTGCATCACATATTAATGGCTGCTTCTTCCACAGGATGCTGCGGCAGCTATTGATAACATGGTAAGTAGCTCACGTTGTTTTTATGCCAGTGGAGTTCGTCTCTTGTGCTTATGTGAGTTCTCAAAATGGTTTGAAAACCCCAGGATGGAAAGCAGTGCCTCTCTTTCTGTTTATCTCTTAGAATGAGTCAGAACTTTTTGGACGGACTATCCGTGTGAACATTGCGAAGCCCATGAGAATCAAAGAGGGTTCATCTCGACCAGGTAGGGAATTCAAGTTTGCTGAGAGTTTAGTTTGCTTGGACTGATGTGTAAACTGGTAACGGTTAAACTTATCACATGGATTTCCCTTAGTATGGTCGGATGATGACTGGTTGAAGAAGTTCTCTGGAAAAACTCTGGAAGAAGCTGAGGCAGAGTCAGCAGCTGGGGATACAACAAAGACAACAACAGAAGAGGTGAGGGGATGTCTGTGCTGGTGTACCAGCTGTAGCAGGTAGATGGACTAATTTAATATCCACACGCTCCAATTTAGGAATAGATTCCAGCAACGTTTTTTTCTTTTGGGCAATTAATTTCGTAATTGTTGAGATGATAAACAGACTGTATGTTTTTGTTTTTGTTTGTTTTTTTGCAGACTGAACCACCAGCTAAAAAGAGCCGAGTAAATCCTCAGGTATACATGGACATCAAGATTGGCAACAAGCCAGCAGGGAGACTGCGCTTCCTCCTCCGGGCTGACGTTGTTCCTATGACAGCAGGTCTGCTTGCTTCTCTACAAATGATCCTCCCCTTGTTGGAGGGGTGCATATAAACAACACATGGGGTGCTTTTATAACCTTTATGATGAAGTTATGAATGACAAACAGAGGCCGTGTGTAGTTACATATGTTTGCATGACTGGAATGTGCACATTCCTAATTTTTTTTATTGAAAGTTTAGATCTCATCTGAAAGGTTGTTTGAAAAATAAATAGCCACTCCTGTGTTCTGCAAATAACTGGTTTGACAAAAGTCAAGCTAATGGTTCAGTAAAACTGGTCTGATGTGGCAGAACAAAGTGTTGAAAAAAATCTACATCTAGCACACATATACTTTAAATTAATTTAGGTTATTTCAAGTGAACCTTATATTTATATTGGGTGCTCCATACAATCTTTACCAAGCGATTAACCACAGTCTGTTATATGCAATGTATCCTAAGAACCAACTGATCACTTTAAGGTGAGACATGAAAGGCTGTTTTCACTGATTGCAAAACACCTCATATACCTAGATGGAAAAAAAGGCTTGTTTACCAAAGGAGGAATGTTATGTAAGTAATTGACTTGAAAATTTTGCTGAACAAATCTAAGACTTCTAAATTACTGCTAGACGTTTCATACAAACCTAGTTCCAAGAGGCTGGCATGATGAGGCTATACCACAGTAAGGCATCGTGCTCTAAGCAGCACCTGGTCTAATCTTCATAATGGGGGACTTGTTTCTGCTCCCACATTCCAGCATTAATGTGTGAAAGAACACTTGCTGTAGGTGCACAGTCAGGAGTGTTTCTGTCTTCAAAAAAAAGTTTATCCTTCTGTAAAGTGAGCTTCATAGTTGTAAAAATCTACTAATGTCTACTAATGTTCACTAAAAATAATGTTTTCTTACATTTTGGTTTAGAAAACTTCAGATGCTTGTGCACTCATGAGAAGGGATTTGGCTACAAGGGCAGCAGTTTCCACCGCATCATCCCTCAGTTTATGTGCCAAGGAGGCGACTTCACCAACCACAACGGCACCGGGGGGAAGTCCATCTACGGCCGGAAGTTTGACGATGAAAACTTTGTCCTCAAACACACAGCTCCAGGTTAGGAGTCTGACCACTTCCACTCACCACCTTCCAGCGGATGCCATTGGCTAAAGTTTTTCTCTCATGCACGCAGGTCAGCTCTCCATGGCCAACTCTGGGGCAAACACCAACGGCTCTCAGTTTTTCATCACCAATGACAAAACAGACTGGCTGGATGGCAAACATGTGGTGTTTGGAGAGCTGGTGGAGGGCATGGATGTGGTCCGAGCAATGGAGGTAAGGGGTGGGCTTTCTATCACACATTATGTCGTTCATATCAACAACCAAGGGCTTGTTTTTATGCTTTTCTTCTGAATAAATCCATTCATTCATTCATATAAGAAGTTCATTGAAATTGACTGGGTATAATTGTGTATTTGGCTGATGTCAAGTAAGTATTTTGACTCTCCAAAGAAGCAATATGTTGTCTGACAGCTGTTGAACATGCTTGTTCACGTGAAAATTGTTCGTGTCCTGAACAAAAACTGGTAGGGTTGACTTTGTTCAGTTCACTAATTTTTTTAAATAACGCTTTACTTATTAATAATAAATATTTGTTTACCTCCCTCCCACCTCTTCATGGTTAGTGTCGAGGTCAAAGGTATTAGATTATATTTAGATTTGATGCACATTATGAGAATGTTAAAAAAACATAGGTTATTATGTCCATTCTGTATATTTTTACAAACTAAACCATGGTTGGTTTGTGGCTCCTGATACATGACACAACCCTTCCTGACTCACAACAGCTCCCCTACTCAAACACTTACACTTCGAAAACACTGGTTCTGAGCTTCTATTTTACTATTTCTGGTGAATCTTTGCTCTAATTGTGTAGTTTCTCCCTTCTGCTTCTTTAAATACAGTTTACATGTGTCAATCCTCTTTTTTTTTTTGGGAGGGTTTGTGATTTAATAATTTAAGAGGTTTGATTCCACCACTGATTCCTCATCCTTAAATGCAAGTGGAATGCGTGGCTTGATAGTGGTCAATAGAAGAATGTTGACATAATGAAAACTTGTGGTTGGTGCAAACTCTGCAGTGTGATAAGTGGGAAGTAATGTTGGTGCACGTTGCTATGAGGACTCTGTTTTGTACATTTAAATGCTAATACGAATGGAATTCTCTTCATGCATTTCATGTAATTAATGCAATTTCTTTAAGCAGGGCGGTTTAGTCACATGGATTCTTTGTGTTTTCCTTTTCAGGCCCAAGGAACAAAAGATGGAAAGCCGAAGCAGAAAGTGATCATCTCTGACTGTGGAGAATATGTGTGAATGACAAAGAAAATGGGCTCTTGTTTGCATATGTGTTTCGGGGAAGTGAATGGTTGAATCTGTCCTTGGTCTTTTGTACTTTGAATCTCCATCTTTTGCCATGTAAATATTTCAATAAACACGTTTTATAAAAAATAAAACATGAGTTGTTTTTTGCGTTAAAAAGTTTTTTTCTTTATAGAAGTAATCTTTTACGTTCAGTTTATTTTTTAACAATGTATAATTCAACAAGTATAAAGATAAGAGTTAGCATCTCTTATAGGGTGTGTATAGGTCATTTTTAGGTTTCGGTAATTTTAGGACAAGAGTCAGGAGTGATCGACAGCGATTTCCGGATTCGCAACTCATTTGAACTGAATTGGTCAAACTAGTTTAGGGAGGAGTGGAACCGCGACACCTGGAGTGCTAAGAGGAGCGCAGAGATGCACAGCTCCACCCCCTCCGCTCCAGTCCTGTCGGGGAGCGTTCTGAGATTCTAATCGGTGTTCATCCAAGTCCTGCTCCGTAGCTCCGAGTCTGAACCGCCTAAAGAAGAGTGTCTGAACGGTGAGTAGCAACTTATTCGGAAAGTAAAAGTAAAGCCGCGCTGTTTCATGTGTATCAGACATCGATATCTGTAATGCGCGCTTTTACGCACAGAGTGAACAAACTTGAAGTCCGTATCGCAATCTTTGGAAAGTTCGCTATCTGTCGGAAAGCTGAGTTTGTATATCCGCATGCCGCTGACTTACGATCGTATAATTCTGCTCAGAAACTTCCTAAATAAAACTTTTGAGTTAAGTTAATGCATTTTTTAAATGTTGCCTTAAAGTTCTGTATGAATACAGTATAAACCTGTGCGCTACCAATCGAGTTCCTCCTCACTTTGTCTCTTCTGTCGTCTCTTTTATGTATCTGTGATTTAACTGTTTTCTTTTTCTTTTTTTTGCCTCAGGCTGGTGTAGAACAGAGGTCTGAGGTTTCCCCGTGCCACTGTAGTTCAGGAGAACCACCTCTGTCTTCTATCATCAGGCGGAGAAGACAGATTGTGAACAAACCTCGTCATGAACTGGGCATTCCTCCAGGGCCTCCTCAGCGGGGTGAATAAGTACTCCACAGCTTTCGGGAGAGTGTGGCTCTCCATCGTATTTCTCTTCAGAGTCATGGTGTTTGTCGTGGCAGCAGAGAAGGTCTGGGGCGATGAACAGAAAGACTTCAAATGTAACACAGCTCAGCCCGGGTGCCACAACGTCTGCTATGACCACTTCTTCCCCGTGTCCCACATCCGCCTGTGGGCCCTGCAGCTCATATTCGTCACCTGTCCGTCGTTCCTGGTGGTGATGCACGTGGCCTACCGGGAGGAACGGGAAAAAAAGCACCGGAACAAGTACGGCGAGAACTGCCAACGTCTCTACCAAAACCCGGGCAAAAAGCGCGGAGGCCTGTGGTGGACCTACGTCTTCACGCTGTTCTTCAAAATAGCCGTCGACGCCACCTTCGTCTACCTGCTCTACCACATCTACGAGGGCTACGACTTCCCCTCGCTCATCAAGTGTGAGGAGAAGCCCTGTCCCAACAAGGTGGACTGCTTCATCGCGCGGCCCACGGAGAAGAGGATCTTCACCATCTTCATGGTGGTCACCAGCCTGGCCTGCATCCTCCTCTCCGTCTTTGAAATCCTCTACCTGATTTGCAAACGCTGCCACGAGTGTTGGTCGTCAGTCCACCAGTCTCACCGCAAGATGACCACCGCTTTATCCAGCGGAAACAACCTGATAGAGTCCAACACCCTGAAGCTGATGGGCAAAAAGACCCCGGAAACACCCGCACCTTCATACAGCGTTGCCGTATCTTGAGAGACCGAAAACAAAGACCCCTATGGAAAAACAAAGAGTGAATGGAAAGATGTCACTCCTCGTTTTATAGAAAGTGCAAAACTTTTTATACAGACTTTATTCTCTGAAAGACTGGATGGTGTTCAAGTTAGTCCCCCCCTTGGCAGAGAGTTTTAAATTCAGGACCTTGAGATTAATGTGTCATAGATGTGGAATGTGCACACAGTTGCGGGTATTTTACAGTGATTTTTTTTACAGAAAAAGTTTACAGCGCCTGCAAAGAAAGCATCAGAGGGGATTTTTGTGTTGCAGTGTCTGATTTAGGCCCGACTTCAATTACATGAGTCATCTGTTAGTACGGCCAGTTTTTACCAACACATGTGGTTTCTCTGTGTAAGATTTTCCCTGTGCTCAAGCCCAGCCCTCAAAATGAATATTTCAATCCGTGCTCAGCCTTCTCCCTACATTCGGGTGTTCATGTTGCACTCTTTGTGCATGCTGTACCTTTTGTAACTTATGTATTTTTGTTTTTTTTGTTTTTGTTTTTCTGTTTGTGCTGTGTAATTTCTTGCTGTAAGGCAGCACAGCTCAAAGCAGTGGGAGAGCAGTTTTGTAAACACAGATGCTTGAAAAAAATCAGGATGTGCATATTTTACATTGTTGATTCGCAACTTTATAGCGTGTTTCTTAATATTTTTAAATAAATGATACATTGATGTTTTGAACACATGTTGTTTTTATGAGAACGGTTTCTAAAGGTCGATGCAAAGCAGCGGTTGCTGCAGTAACGTCCGATTAAAACCCTGTTAATGATAAAAACTCCAAATTAACCTAATGCCTGAGACTATTAACAGGTAGTTAAGAACAATGTAAACCAGCCTGTCCACAGAAAAATAATTGGATGTCAGCAAAAAAGTCCGTGGTTGGAAAAAGTTTCCTTTCCCCTTTTACTTTTTTCCGCATTTTTCAGGATTTCCTTCTTCCTCTTTGACTTCACAGATTGCTCTTCTCGTGTAGGCAGCTTTGATTGTTTTGGTTGATCGCTACTTTGAGAGGGGCAGAGGAGGAGTCCACCACTCCTACGTTGGCTTAATCTGTACTTACGTGTGACTCCACCCAGTTCAGGAATGTGTGTGTGCGGCCTCAGAATGGATGATCGTGCCCTGTAACGTGCCACAGGAGTGCCCCAGTCGGAGTTAAAGCTTCCCTGCTGATGTTTTCAAATGCGTGTACTACCATCTACATTTTCACCACCACCCAGAAAAGGAAAGACATTAACAACCTGGGGAAAACCTTTCTGCAAACCTTTCATATAATGGTTTAGAGGCACCTCTGTCATCAGTTGATGACACAGAAAACTTTAGATTCTTATAGAAAGATGTCGGTGCTTATGTAAATGGGTCAGTTTGAGTCTATCGACCCCTTTAGTCTGCCCTCTGGTCTTGTGGAACTATTTTCCAAACAGGATCTAAGCGTGAATGAAGCAGGATATGACTCAAAAGTCATCATTACTTTCCGAAGGAGCTTTTTTCCCTTTTTGATTATGAACATCCAGTGTGAGAGAGTATTTTTGTCTGAAGAGGTCTGATTCCATAAATCTGCAGTTAATATTGCTGAACACTGAAAGATTACATAAAGAATAGAATGTCTTTCATAAAAGAACATTGCTACCTATTTCCTGAACAAAATAGAACTCTGTTTTGGTTAAATGAGTGACCCAGTGTCTCTGTGATTTAGATGGATTTGGAGCGCCTCCTCCTTAATACATTTTTTCTCCTCAAATGTGTTAATCACAGTCTTATCTGCTTTCAAGTTTTCTGTGAAACCTGATAATATAAAAGGTAGTATCGACTGACAGACAAAAAACGTTTCAAAAGTGTACCGTCATGTAAACATCTTTATACATGCTGGCCATGACTATATCAACAGGCTCCTGCCGGTTTAATTTTTTTCATTTTTGTTTTTCCAACCTGCATGTGAGTAAAATCAGTAAAATCAGTCATTAAGAGACCGTCCCATATCTCTGGGGGTATCAGAACCAGTCCCTGCTTCCTTACTTCTGGTACATTTCCTTCCCTTTACAGAGCCTGACGGTGAAGGTTGTGTGTTTGTCCTGTTTTGTTGGTTTGTCTTGTTGAGACTTGCCATTGGCAGAAGTTGAGTCACACAGCGCATTTCTCCAGGCGTGTCCTCAGCAGACTGCTGGAGCACATTCATCTGAAGCCAAGAAGAAGCATTTTCACCCCTCCCCCACAGTCAATTTAGATTTTCACCCACAGAAACCCTCTAATTATTAAAAGGAACAATTGTTAACATGGCACACGTGAACTTAATCTGGCCTCTGACTTTCCAGGAAAACACAAGTTGAAGTCAGTGAGGTGAAGGGTCCAAAACTGAAGCAATGGCTTGTGGGTGCGTGTGTTTTGCCTTCTTGCACGACACAGTTCCACATCTCTCCATCTCTCCATCGACTTCGTTCCAATAATTCCATTGGAGTTTTGGGCTTGGCCGGCAGCTGTAGCTATTGTGAGTTTCAAGGAAATTTTCTGAGACAGGTACACTCTGTCATGCATCTTTTATTCGTCTATGCTGTGTAAACACTTTATTCACCAGATATGAAAGCAGGAAGGCCTGCCAGTCCTGGCATGTCGGGGCGCAGCCCTGGCAATGGAAGCAGGAAAACATTTGTTATTCTGCAAAGTATGAGGGGGCAAATGTGTCTGTCTGTCTCTATTAAAAAAAAAAAAACATTTTCCAACTTTAGCACAAAAACAGAATGGTTGCATTTCAAAGGAGAAAAGAGCATTAACATAAATAGTGGTGGTTGTAGGAAAAGGCATTCAATAGGACACAAAAGACAGCTAATATCTTCTGACTGAGAGGATGAGATTGGGAACCTGAGTGCTTTGTGAATTGTGACGAAGTAAACTGAGCTGAAAGGGCCTGAAAAGGTTGGTGGAAATACAACACTTGTTTTTTTTATGTAAGGTACAGCCTTAAATCACTTATGGACGCAGTGAATGAAAGCTGACAAGAATTATTTGCTTTTTGGTTACATGCAAATCTCTTAGTGACCGACACACAGTCTCCACAACCATCGCCTTGAAACGTCACCATTTCCCTTCGTGACACCTCTAAAGTGCTGCTCACTGTTCACAGCTCGCAATCAAATGGAATCAGAGGCAATGGGTAATAACACAAAAATGTATTCAACTTAAGGTGTGACTGCTTGTTGCGTGTGCTGACAAGTATCAAGATGAGGCAGGGACACGACAGTTCCTGGAAACATGGGAACAATATGTCTACAGCCCCTAAAAACCTTTCAAAGAAAATGAACTCCTATGGAAGCCATGTATAGTTAAAAAAAAAAAAAAAGGTTTTGCCATTGAATTTTACAGTGGCAGACTTTATAAACTCTCCCATTCATTGTGACAAAACTTCTAAGCTGATCACCAGCTTGTTGTTTTCCAGTCAAATGACATGAACAAGAGTGTGGTTAAGCCACGCAGCAGCTTGCTTTGGGAACCTGATACCTTACTTGACTGTTCGATTGGAAGCTTTTATCCAAACTCAAATGAAACTGGGGGGGTTGAACGGTAATGTTTGAATTGCCTTCTGACGGCGGTGTGTGAGCAGACTAGAGGGAGACGGAGAGGGAGGGAGAAAGGGGAACATCTGGGTTCGCTCCAGTCTTTCTTCTTTAACCCCACCCACAGGCGCATTTCTTTACCCTGCGCTCAAGGATCAGTCGAGACGAGCGAAATCTGTGCGTTTCGGGGCCAGCTATACTGAAACAGCAAGAAACCCGTTGAGATGGGCGAATCTTCTAAATAGTTATGGATTGATACATCTTATGGTAAGTGGTAAATTCGTTTTAAAGATGTCTAAGAATAGTTAAGCTTCGTAAAGTCCAAGTTGGCACCTTACCCAATCTGTCCGTGATTATGACGCGGCTGTGTTTGGTTGATTAACTGATTTTGCTTTTTAAATTGTAATCATCGCTCGGTGTTTTTGTAATGAAAAAAGGGTGTTCAGAGTGGAAAACTTGAAACGAAATGAACGAAACATGAACGTAAAATGTTCGTGCGTAAAAAGCTTGTTTTCTTCCCTTCGACGCACGCGAAGTCCTGAGAGGTTTACTTCCCACATTAACAGATACACAGCGGAAGACTGGTCTGTGCAAAAACGACATTATAGAGAATAACGTAAAGCAAAAGCAGTACAACAATGGCTGTGTTAATACGTGGTTCCATTGTTGGCGCTTTGGCGTTAGGCCTACTCATAACTGTGGTATTGTAATTGGTTGTTCCTGGTTGTGTTCGATAAATGACACGTTGGACATTATTTTGGGGAACTTTGGGGGAATGAAAGTCTGTTGATCTCGAAAGTGAGCTTGAATGAAAAATGAAGCTCATCAGACCAGAAAAGCATGCCCAACCATTCTTCATTCTGCCATTTCCAGGTCTGAGGAGAAGCTGATATCTGAAAAAGAAACATTCCAGGGAGAAGAGTGTTGACTGCCGGCCAAGAGCATGGACTGGAAGACCTTTCAAGCCCTCCTCAGCGGGGTGAACAAGTACTCCACGGCGTTTGGGCGCATATGGCTGTCGGTGGTGTTCGTGTTCCGGGTGATGGTGTACGTGGTGGCGGCGGAGCGGGTGTGGGGCGACGAGCAGAAGGACTTCGACTGCAACACCAAGCAGCCCGGCTGCGCCAACGTCTGCTACGACCACTTCTTCCCCATCTCCCACATCCGCCTGTGGGCCCTGCAGCTCATCTTCGTCACCTGCCCGTCTTTCATGGTGGTCATGCACGTGGCGTACCGCGAGGAGCGCGAGCGCAAGCACCAGGCCAAGTTCGGCGACAGCATCAAGCTGTACAACAACACGGGCAAGAAGCACGGCGGCCTGTGGTGGACCTACCTGATCAGCCTCTTCGTAAAGACGGGCATCGAGATCTCCTTCCTCTACATCCTGCACCGGGTGTACGACAGCTTTTACCTGCCCCGGCTGGTCAAGTGCGAGGTGTCGCCCTGCCCCAACCAGGTGGACTGCTACATCGGCCACCCCACCGAGAAGAAGGTCTTCACCTACTTCATGGTGGGAGCCTCGGCGCTCTGCATCGTCCTCAACATCTGCGAGATCATTTATCTGGTCTTCAAGCGCCTGGTGCGATTCACCAACAAGCTGAAGCAGCGGCACCGCGCCGTGGCCGTGCGCCACGGCGACTTCGACCACGACCACGAAGACGACGACCACGACTCCTTCAACAACTGCAACGTCCCCGGGTCCAAGCGGGAGCTGAAGGACAAGCCTCCCTCCTTCAGGAAAGTGTGCCAGACGCCCTACAGGCCATCTCTCCTTAAATTTGAGCCGAAGATACGGGCCTCTGCTCCTAACCTGTCCATGACCTCATGATCGCACTGAAAACAGGCGAAAGATCAAAAGCTAAGCAGGGCTTGGACTAGATTCCACATTAAAGGAATAGGGAAATAAAAACTATTTAAAAAGACACATCAGTAGCAGGTTAGCAGGTACCAAGCTGCATGTGTCAGAGCCCGGAAGTGGAGTCACGCATACTGGAATCAACCTGCGTGACCATGTGTCCATACCTACGAACTCTAAAGGAAGCAATTGAACTTTGGTTCCCAAGTCAACAGCCGCAACATTTACAAATCGTTTTTTTAAAGCCAGCGATACTTTCAAATCAAGGAAAGGTCTCTTTGCATTATCAGTGTAATCTCTTTCAGAAATTTCCAGTACAGTCTCAGTCTTCCTATGGTTGAGGCTTTAGAACTGGGAAGGGAAATGAAACAGCCTCACAGAGTGGCAGGACACACCTGGCAGAGGTATTCACAGATTCCTTCCAATGCCTGTGGTGATGTGTCAGAGCACTCTATTGTCACGGAGGGAATCATCGTCACTTTTTATTTAATTTATGATAGAATTGGTACATTATCCTCCCAATTTGATGTCTTCAACATCACATACAATAAAAACAAATAACATACCTGTGCTTGAATATGGATGCTCCAGAATAAAATGATGTGTGAATGTGTGCAGAAATACCCAAAATGGTTTTATTATTTAATTATTTGAATCCAGAAACAAAACACAAACTGTTGTTAGGATATTGCCTGATTCAGATGCTCTGCTGACCCACTGCCCAGGCTGTCCGGCCACGAGGTGTACCTGGACCACTCGTGTTTGTCCTACCCGTAAACAGCCTGGGACATCTGTTGATGTAAATACGATGCAAAGGAATGCTGCTGTTTAATTCTGTGTTGGCCAAAGCAGCAGAGCTGTAGAGGAAATCTGCACAGACAGGTGGCTGCTTCTGTGTTATTGAGACTCACTCGCTGTCCACTGTGGACAGCTGGAGGAAATGTTTATATTTGAATTGTATTCATTTTTCTACAGTTGAATATATTAAACATGTTGATTATATGTTTCTCTGTTGTCTTTTTGCAATCTTTCTGATGTTTTTAACAGATAAAACAAACTAACTGCCCTATACATAGGTCAAACTCTTTCTTTTTCACAATCCTGTCTGTAAAGATCCTCATTCTAGGAAATGAGCATTTCTACAGTTGCTGACGCATAATGATGCTTTGTCTGATCAATACGAGGCTTGTATAAGATTTAATGAATCACCATGACAGGCTGTTTACTTGGTTCCAATACATATCAGTTGCGTTACTAGGTGGCCCCAGGAAGAATCTCAGTGTGCCTGTTCAACTTGTCGGTCAGGTTTTTTTTTTAAAAGGTGGAGCCAAAAAATAAGTTATTTGTTTACCCAGAAAAAGTTTCCGCAAACTGGAAAAACATGAAGGAGCTGATGGGATAACTTTCTGGTGCCTTATATGGTCAGCGGTATCAAAACTGGTATGAGATGTGCTGACTGTAGAGAAGACAGCTGTCCAACACTTAACAGCGTATAAGCCACAACATTAAAACCACTGGCTGGGGAAAGCCACTATGTAGAAATCCTACAGATGACACTATTACAGACTGCCAGACTGAAAATGGTACCTTCCTCATGCTTTGGAGGTGAATGAAAGAGACGGGGAGAGCATTGTATAAAAATCAAAAAGTCTATTTCCTAACCCCCCCCAGCCCCCTGTCAGAGGCCTTTCTGATCAGGGCTGATTTCTAGGCATAGCAGCACCACTACAGTCATTGGGCAATGACGGATAGGTGTAGATTTACCGGTCGGACCGCTGACACCACTGAAAAATACACATTTAACACACCTCACTAGGAAATATTGTTTTATTTTCAACACAATTTTCAAGGATATATACATGAGTTTGAAGAACATAATTAAAAGAAATAAATACTAAACTAAAAATGTCCGTCTGAAAACCAAAAAAAGAAATAAAAATGGTCTCTTTTCATCAGTCAGTGCAATGCCCAAGTTCATTAGAACTGATGGTTTCCACTGATACTCCCTAAAAAGACCTTTTCGTGGGGTTGATCACTGCATTCAGAGGATAACACTTAAATAAAAAACGATGCCGTTTTCTGACTTCAGCACATTTTCCATCCCTAGGACACATTACTGAATCATCTGTTGTTATTAATTAAATCTGCTTGGTTTTGGCTTACCAACAGCCCACCTTTAAAACGGGTGAGGACAGCTGTTGATGGGTGGATTCTATCAATGTGACTTGACATAAGGCACTATTCAAGCAACACGTCCATATAGTGAATATTTCACTAGATCGTATAGACCAAACAAAAATAGAAGTCACTACCATCCAAATATTAAGGAAGCGGTTGATAAATCAAAGTTGAAATTAAATAAAAAGTGTTAAATGAACAGAGGACAAAGAGGGTGGTGGTCTATAGTTTGCAGGTGGCCTGTGCCACTTTGGAGTTGGTCTTTCTGTTGATGGTTCGACAGATGAAAGCTCCAGCATCCATCAGCTTTGTGATGTCCACTCCCTGAGGCGGGGGGGCAGAGAACTCAATTAAAGACACTACATTCAGTAATAAACTTGCAGTTAACTCAGAGAATGCTGTTACATAAAATAAGTATTTGTGTTGATCTTATTTAGTTTTAAAATTTTATATACAGTTAAATTATTTGCAGATTACCACAGTCTTCTTTTACAGACATCTTAAACTATTTTATTATCATTTTGGAAATATCTGCTTTTTGTAAAGAGAGTATTTGGGTCCCAGAGTTTCCCAATTAAATAAAAATCGCCATAATTATCGGATAAAATATTATTCTTACTGTTTGAATCCCAAGTCCATGCAGCATATAGACGACGTCTTCTGTGGCAACATTCCCAGAAGCCCCCTGGGCGTAGGGACAGCCCCCAAGTCCAGCTACGGATGAGTCTACCACGCTGATTCCCATCTGTAATAAAGGAAAATATTCGAGTCACTCATGCTTAATGAGACAAACCTTTCAGCGTATGATATGTCGATAGGTTCCAGACCTGTAGGGCTACCAGGATGTTAGCCAGCGCCTGGCCATAGGTGTCGTGGCAGTGTACTGCCAAGGCGCTGACTGGAACCTCTCTGCTGACTGCTTCTAGCATTTCAGTCATGCTACCAGGAGTCCCCACTCCAATAGTGTCACCCAGAGAGATCTCATAGCAGCCCATAGAGTACAAACGCTTGGCGACCTGAAAGAAACAGACACAAATCTTAGTCATTTTGTCCGTGCCTGCTGAAATAATGAAGCGTGCATCACGACAGAACTCACATGTGCAACTTTCTCCGGAGCCACCTTGCCTTCATATGGGCATCCAACGACACATGAGACATAACTTTGATAAGAAACACCGACGGAAGAATTAAACCACAGCTCAATGATTTAAAGGTTTGCTGACAAAGAGGAAGGCAGCGATCATACCCTCTAACTGGTACGGAGGCCTCTTTGGCAGCCTTCATGACTTCATCAAACCGTTGTAAACTCTCGTCCACCGAGCAGTTTATGTTCCTTTTGCTGAACAGCTCAGACGCAGCACCAAATATGGCCACCTCTGACGCTCCAGCCTTTATCTAGGGGTGAGAGCGATGGGAATAAATTGTTGGGGATTTGAAATGTTAGTTCACAACGGTCTGACTGTTAAAACCTGGTATGCTTGAGACTCACAGCAGCCTGGAAACCCTTGAGATTGGGAGTGAGGACCGGATACGACACTCCCTGTTTTTTCTTGATACCCTTCATCACTTCCAACTGGTCTGCCATCTGTCATGTTAACGACAGAAACCGGTTAACACAGAAGCAAACATACCAATGCGTTGCAGGGTGTGTCAAAGACTTCCATCTGAATGGCTCGTGTAGGATGATGCTCACCTGTGGCACCCATTTAGGGGATACAAAGCTGGTGGCCTCGATGACTGGCAGCCCGGATTCTGACAACATGTTGATTAAATGTATTTTTGCTTCCGTCGGCACAAGTGTCTAAAAAAAGAAACAAAAGAAACATAAATCTGAAAACTGTCTGTGCAACACTGACCGATGTTTTTAGTCCAGATTCCATAAATCACAAACCCTGCACCTCCCTCTCCTGAGCCCCACAGCTGAATCTGTCCCTGATGACTGTGCTGGCACAGTGTAATAACATAAAGCTAACAAGTTTATTCAACCTTACCTTCTCGTTTTGAAGGCCATCTCTGGGTCCCACCTCCACTATTTTAACCTTCTCTGGAAGAGCATGACCTCTCTTTACTCCAGCCTATGGACGAAAAGGGGGGTGAGAATCTAAATTTCAATGGTTCAATGGTCAAATAGTTTTAAAGATTGAAAAGTAGACTACGAGTTAACCAGCTGGATAAACAAACATTACTAGTCTAACTGCGTAGGTCGCCAACAATAACAGGACAAGTACTACATGTAAAATGTTCAAAGTATGATCGGGAAGACTGATAAAAACAGAAGAACACCCACCGTTTTTCCTGTGACCGCCGAGCTGAATGCCAGGTACGGTCGCCCCATTGCTGAGCTTAAAGCGCTGCTGTTTAGGAGCCTCAGTGCGGCCGCCATGACAGTTCAGCCTCCGGTCAGAGGTCACGTGATCCTCTTCAGCGAGGGAGTCGACTGAGAGAACATTGACTTTAAATGAGCGCCATCTACAGGTGGAAGATAAGCATTGAAATGTTGTTGTAGGAGGCCATTTCTATGTTATAAATGAACTAAAACTCTGAAAAATACTCCTTTGCTAAGTGAACAAAAAATCTTATCCTTATTTGTCACTCTTTAAATAATAAAAGATCATTTAAAAATAATTTGGCGTTCTAAAATACATGCTAAAATCACTCACAAAGATTAAGAGATGTGCTGTTACCCTGTGGTATATTCCCCATCAGAGCAAAATACAAATGATATATTTACTTTAATGTTATTTGACATTTTACCTATTGGTGTTGTTTAAGTTTAATGTTTTAAACAGTTGATAAAGTACTCTGATAAGGCTGTAAAACACAATATAAACTGACGGGTTTTGGCAGAATCGTCCAGGCTTTTTTCTGTTTCCAATGATCTATTACAAACTTTTATGATTTGGCCAAGATCACGTTTCAGATGAAAAACAGTTATCAGATAAATCAAGTATGTTTTTCCTCATCCCGTATCGTTTTATTTAAGGTATAGCTAAAATGTCTTATCAAAATCAAATATTGGCGTTATGATAAAGAAATAAACATATGAAAGATATTTGCTTTGGAATTTTGTTTTCAATGAATATAGATGTGCAGAGTCCTAAACCCTCTTCAGCCACTGGTAGTAATGCAATACAAAAACAATTATTTACATTATGAGCATATTCTAAAGAGCTGCATTAAACACATAATGTGGTGTTTAAGAATGTTTTACCTCTCTTTTGAAGACAAAAATGGAAGAAAACAATATTTATTTTACAAAAATATATTTAATGTGTCAAAAAGTAAAAAAACAAACAAATAAATTATTATAATTGTTTCATAGTGCATATCATGACCAGCCATAAAACTATTGTAACACTTATAAACAGGCCGGCTCTCAGCAGAGCCACTACTCTACCTGTGATACTCAACTTGGCTTGAATTCCAGCAGAAAGTCCCCAAAAAGCTGCAAAGGTCTGATTTTTTTTTCATGCAGATAAAAAAAAAACACTTATTGAACTTGTTATCATGTATCTACATAAGAACCAAAGGAAACATGCTTTAGATAGTGCATATCTTTAAGGAGATTACAAAAATGTCTTCCATTTTCACCATTCTCATAAAAAAACAAAAACAGGTGCATTTTGCTAACAGACTACGGATACATCTTAAATGTGTGTATTGACTTCACCGGTTCCTGTATTTTATGCATAAGTTATCTTTCATGGCTTAAGCACACAAAACTTAAAATCTGTGAACCGGCAAACACTTTGGCCCCCTTTCACTGCAGCTCCTCATCGCTGTCGTCCACCTGCTGGATGATCAGGTCCGTCCCCGAATCTTCAGCCAGGTCATCGTCGTCGTTCACCATCCAACTCCTCTTGGTGTCCCCCTCCTCCTCCCCATTCACACCTAATAACAAGGCCGGCTCATCTAAGGGCCCGTCGAGACTGTCTATGGGGATGCTTTCACAGCCCACTTCCTGGATGCAGGCGGTGCACATGCGGTAGCGTCGAGTCCCCTCACACACCACGTGCCCAGTTTCTTCGGTCACCTGACACTTACACTTTCTGCACACCAGCTTCCTGGCTTGATGGATCTGTGCGTATTAAGCAGATTAACGTCAAGATGGAAGTGCATTAAATATTAACATATTTCTGCTTTTTACGTCTTATGAAGAACGAGTCATGAATATGGAAATGGCCTCCTGGTTATACCCACCGTTTCAAAATGGCTGCGGAGGTGCTCCAGGCGTGTGAAGCGCTTGTTGCAGGCCTGGCACGGATACGGCCTCTCACCGGTGTGACAGCGCAGGTGACGCTTCAAGTCTGCCTTCCTCTTTACCGTGTGTGTGCAAAAGGGGCATTTGAAGCGCATAACTGGGTTAGAATCTGCAAGAAGAAAAAGAAGACATACAAACAAAAAAGCCTTTTTCTCTTGTCACTGAATTAACTCTTTTATTGGCTGCACTCTTGCCACGTCATTGCTGTCATCGGACGCTACCGACTCCACTTAAAGCCCAACACACCTTTATTGAAGTGTCCAATAACGCCTACAATCGGAGGTAGGGTGGCATAAAGCTCCTCTGCCTTTTCAGCTTTTTGGGTTCTAGTCTCCAGAACATCCAGGTCTTCGTGCTGGCTGGAACGGTTGCTATTGGGCGCTCTCCTTTTGGTCCCGCCTCTTGAACGCCGGCGCTCTGATCCGGGCAACGTGTACAGAGGGTCCTGAGGGTCTTGCAGGCCGTCTGCATCTGCACTGACCTCGTTGGTGGGGCTGTTTGGATTGGTTTTCAGGGCCAAGGCGGACGCGTCCTGTTCTGGGTCCTTGCCTATGAAGCCGGACTGGGACAGGGAGCTGTCCCGGGTCCAGAGAGCGGGCGGCGGGCTGACCGAGCAGGGGCCTTGCTGCTGCGGATCTGTGGAATCCTCTCCGGCTCCACTGGTGAAGCTGCAGGTCTCGGACAAGCTGAGGCAACGGTCGCTGTCCTCCTCTTTCACACTGATGTCCAAAGAGGATTTGATGAAGTTCTTGCAGTAGTTGATGACATTGTTCATCTGCAAGTAGCTGGCCGCCGACATGACCTCGATCACGTTGTGACTCGAGAGGTCCAGCTGGCCCGAGTAAATGAAATCGAGGATGACGGTGAATGTCTCTGGGGTGAAGGCGTCGAAGGCGGCGTTAACCGTGTCGGGCAGCCCGTCCGGGCCCTGGGTCAGCAGCATGCGGAAGTAGCCGCTGCTGGCAAACAGGACGTTGCGGTGGGCCCTGAAGAGCTGGCCCTCCACCAGCACACTGCAGTCGCAGAAGAGCTCCTGGCGGCGCTGCTGGTTGAGCTGCTTCAGCAGATTGTTTTGATGAGCGACTGTGATGTCAGCCGTGTTGAACCACCTCTGAGGCTGCCTGCAGAACACAACAAGACAATGCCTGTGAATAGACGTTCCAGAAAATTCTGGACTTGATATAACTTCGGGACAATGGGGATGAAACAAAGCCACGAGATATGTCAATTTTTGTTTATTCGCCAGTGTGAAAAATAAGGTTTATATGGTCTGATTTTGGAGAAATTTGAGGTTTCCGGATGTAATGAAAAATATACAGTCGGCCAATCAAAAACTTCCACATTCAACATGCTAAACGAGGTCCAAAGAGTCTAAGGACAGGGTCTTTGATATTTAGCATTTAATGGTCCAACTTTGTAGTGACTCTACTCCTGTAGAGATTAATATCCTTTGTCACTATAGATTGACAGACTTTAAAATAGTTTGGAAAAGTACTTCTAAAGCATCTCTGGCTGATGGGTAGTTTGCTCATCTAACATCATTGGTGCTGTGGGTATCCTCTGATGTCAGGTGTTAACACACCTAAAAGCTCCAGACCAGCAAACAGACTGAATTTCTGCTTTTATAGAAGTACTTACTATAAAAAGCAGCATGTGGTTGCCACATCCCCTCTGCATTTGTTAAGGAACAATAAGGAACAAATATTTAGTTTAACTAATATTTCATTATTTTTATCGTAAATATGTCCTGACATGAAGAATAAACTTTTCTACATGACTGTAGGTCAATGTGCTGATGTCCAGAGGAATTGGACTGGGCCAAAGCCACTTTTTTGGCATTAATGTAATTCCAAACTGTGGGCTCAAGCTCCAAAACCACACTAACAGTTTATGGAATCATTTTCCCAAATAAATTGCAGACAAGCTGCTCTAATATGGCTGTGGGTGCTGAAACCTTATTGCTGTTTCCCGGAGACAAAAACGGTCACATGTGGCCGAGATGGACTTAACTGGACATTGTGATATGGCAGCATGCAGAGTTTGATGTTTCAGATACCAGATATAAAAGACAGGCCACAGTCCACATTCACCAGTAACGCCCCACGGATTTCTATGTCAATTAAGGCATCTTTGTCTGGGAGCTGGACCATCTCCAGCTCCGGAGAAGGCCCGCCCACAACCTCCATTCTGCTTTGTGATTTGCGAGACGACCCTTCAATCCCAAATATCCTGTTTAACGGGGGTAACACCCGACTCCTGTTAGGCAGCGTCGGGTGACCAACTCTTTATTCAGCACCGTGAGGGGTGGGGGGGGGATCCAAAGAGCTGAAGGGCACAAAGCAGAAGCAAAAAATCCCCACATGAATCAAACAGAATAAGCCCGGTGGGGAGAGAAGAGGGCGTAAAAATACTGCCGCTGGACATATGGTCCGTAGAAAGAAGGAATGAATAAAATAAATCCGTTGCAACCTCATTTTCAGAACAGTTTCCAGTTCACGGTAACCTAATTAGCCCTCCGACTCCAACGCGTCGTTCCTAATAAGCACTGCGACCGTTTTCTGACAGGCTCCGCAGCGCCCGACGACCCACGGCGCAACGCCCGACGACCGGTGCGCTCCGGGCCAAGGCCAATGCCTCCACCGGGCTATTCTCCATTATTTCAGACCTCATTCGACCTAAAAAAAATAAAATAAAATAAAAAAACCCGACACGAGCCATGCTGCAGTCTGAGCCAGAGAAAAGCGGGCAGCGGCGGAGCAGCCCAGTCTGTCCTGGAGCGACGCCCACTTCAGGCTCCGACCAGCACACAAAAGGAAAGAGGAAAAAAAGGGGGAAAAAAGGCAGACACACACAGAGCCCTCCAGCGAGTCAGCATGCCGCGAGCTGGAGAAAGAAAAAAAAAAAAAAAAGACATCCACGCTGGGGTATGCGTCCGAGGACGCGAAAGCGCTACAACAACGCCCGTTTTCATCCTCACGGCCACCCCCACTTCCCGCCGGAGGTCCGGTGCGCGGCGAGCAGCGGGCAGGATTTGCCTGCTGCCCAAACACGGCCCCTCCGTCTCAGGCGAGAAGTGTCGGCGAGACCCGCTTACGCCCCAGTCCCAGATCCCCCCCCCCACAGACACAAAAAAACCATCGATACTCACTGGTGACTGGATTCACCCGGCGCCCGATAGAGCCTGCTCGCCCCCAAGTCTGCCACCAGATCCATTTTTTATTTTTTTTTGTCTGAGCCTTTCTCCCCCCCTCTCCTCTTTTTCCTTGTCCAGGGTCCACGGTCAGGCACTTCCTGCTCAGCCCTAAAGACCGAAACCCGGTCAGAGCGACTGGAGCTCTGTGCTGACGTGGGTGTTTATTAACTGGGTGCCCGAGGGTTCAAGGAGCCATTTAAAGCCCCAGCGCCCCTTAAAACGACCAGCCAGCACCCGGCTCCAAGCTGAGCAGTGTGTACAGAGAATTCCTGCAGGGCTTTTGTTTTAAACTGGGCAGATCTGGCCATAGAATGGTGCATGGAATCCATCATTATTAATAATAACACAGCTAAAGACGGATGGAGTTTTTCATTGTTTTACACCCCCCCCCCATAATTAGAGAATATTCTCAGAATTTGTCCCACGAAAGCATTTTGAACTTGTCTTAGAATTTAGTGACACACAAGCCATTTCAGTCAGTTACAACAATGGAGCTGAGTAGTAAGAAAATTAATTTATTCTTTCATTATTATGGCTTATAGACGAACAGATTTATAAAGACAGTACCCCCTGTTGAATCTGAAATAACACGAATAAAAATGTCTAAACGTGTTTTTTTTCTGGTGTTAATTTACTGTTCAACACAAACAAAGCGTTAATGTAGAAAATATAGACAATCAAACATGTATTTAAAAAATATCTTAATCTCAGAATGAGCGAATGTTGTGTGAGGTCAGAGGTAAATCAAAGGTTTGCTTTGGTGATTGGAAAGTAACGACAGGATGCTGCTGCTGCATCAAGAGGTGCCGTTGCAAAAACCCGTGGGGTTCATGGACTGCCAGCGCCACAAATCCTCACCTTTAGGGAGACAGACAAAACAAAAACATCAGAGAATTACTGGGAAGTGTTTTGGCAAACGCAGGTAGACCTAAGATTTGACTGGCAGGCCGTGCTTACACATTCTTTCCAGGTCAAACTCAGCCTTCCAGCCCAGCTCCTTCTCGGCCAGTTGAGGGTCAGCGTAGCAGGATGCTACGTCCCCTCCTCTACGGGGGGCGATCTTGTACGGAATCTGTACAGAAGATACAGCGTTCACTGCGGATGGAGTCTCATTTATCACAGCCACGTTCCCAGACCTGTCTGGACTCTGTGGACGTGCACGTAGTTCTATTCATAGTGCCATTTGGGTCAGCTGCACCCAAAGACTTTCATGCATGAACATTTAATCAGGTTTTCCACTCTCTGAGTGAAGCATTTCGGAGGAGTGCAGAGCCTCTCCCACGGAAGATAACACAAAACGCTCATGTTGTCCATCTTCCGTTTGTCCGGTTTACAGTGGAGCTGAAGGTGGCCTACATGATGGAACAGGCTCTGCCCTCACAATCAAGCCACACGCAGAGAAAAAGTGGTATTTTGGTACTCACCTCCTTCCCTGATGCCTTTTCCATTGCTTTTACCATCTGGAGGACGGAGTAGCCTCTTCCCGTCCCCAGGTTGTAAACCTACACACTCAGACAGAACGACACATAAATGCTCGGGCTCCGGGGAAATGCAGCCGGTTTGTAGAAACCGGCTCAGAACAACCTCCTTGTGTTTGTAACCGCACCTTGCACCCGCAATTTTCCTTCAGCTTCTTCAGCGCCGCTATGTGTCCCTTTGCCAGATCCACCACGTGGATGTAATCGCGCACACCTGGAAAAGGAGACGGAAGCCTCGCTTATTACTCGTTCTGCATATCTCACCATTGTTTGGATCTAGGCAGAGGCAGATTTTATTACCTGTGCCATCAGGTGTGTTATAGTCATTTCCAAACACGCTGAGACACTCTCTCCTTCTAACGGCAACCTATGGGAAACACCAATTTGGTTACAGATCCGACCAGATGAGCCACTGGAACGGGCATCTGGACAGTCCAGATGCTGCCGTGCGTTTTAACAGCCGTCTAAGGTACCTGGGCAACATATGGCAGCAGGTTGTTGGGAATACCCTGAGGGTCCTCGCCGATCAAACCAGAGGAATGAGCTCCAATGGGATTGAAATATCGCAGCAGCACCGCATTCCAGTCCTGCCCACACAGAAACGGTCATCAGACATCCACACGGGAGCCTCTCTGAGAGGTTTCACAGGTCTGAGCGGCACCTCTTCAGCTCTGCAGTGGTCCTTGATCATCTCCTCGATGAAGTACTTGGTCTTGCCGTAGGGGTTGGTGCAGCCGCCCGCGGGGTGCTGCTCGTCTATGGGGAGGCGCTGGGGGTCTCCGTACACTGTTGCCGAGCTGCTGAAGACCAAATTGCGCACCTTGTGAGTCTGCATCACCTGAGACACATGCAAATGCACACAAACACGGCAAACACAAGTCAGCAGGCCAGCGAGACGACAGTCCACAGCACACAGGCATACAGTACGCCTCAGGGCCGAGCGGGGGGGGGGGGGGGGGGGGGGGGGGGGTGCGTGGGATTTTAGGGCCCACAGTGGGCACGCGGCACAGAAACCAGAGGAAGCCGTGTTAGAGGCGGCCAATCAAAAAAGCAGAAACAAGGGGTCAAGATTAGTTCAGTTCCGGTGAGATGTGAGGGAGGCGCGGGCAAAATGGAGGACGGGCTACATGTTCAACTGACCTCAATCAGGTTCATGGAAGCGGTGAGGTTGACTCTGTAGTAGCGCAGAGGCTGCTCCACCGATTCTCCCACCGCCTTCAGGCCAGCGAAGTGCATGACGGAGCTGAAGGAGTGCTGCAAGGGACACAGTCACACACAGTCTTTATCCCCAAATATGGTTTTGGGGACAATAGGGAGCAGCAGGCATGCTACTTTCTGAAAATGATTTCAAATGGCCCGTGAGGAGTCATCTATCAGAAGCAGCTCATTTTAGGACCGTCCGAATTGGTTTTACTGGCAACCAGTGACAAACTCATCCTTAGATTTGATGAACCGTGTTAACGCGCTGACCTTTTTAAAGAGTTTTTCCAGTCCGGGTCGGTCCAGAAGGTCCAACTCGTGAAACTCGATGCTGGTGTCCAGAAGCTTCTCTATCCTCAGTATGCTCTCCGCGACACCACCCTCTCCTCCGTCGAAAAAACAGCACGGAAAACAGACACGCACACAAGCATAGTGAGACAGCGGCTCAGCGTGGCTGTGATAAACGAAGGCAACTCTCAGATGAGAGCCTCAGTCGGCTGATGGCGCTTACCTCGCACGGCGTTGCTGAAGTTGTCCACGACCACGGGCTGGTACCCAGCGTGGATGAGCTCCACCACGCAGTGGCTGCCGATGTAGCCCGCCCCGCCCGTGACCAGCACCTTCTCCGCCATCCTGTCGGCCTCAGCCTGCAGAAATAGACACATGCCGTTGGAGCGCTGCTTTTTGATTTGTATTGCGTCACAAGGTTTCCAGGACACACCTGGAAATGAAAGGCTGGCACAACTGGATTGTCCAACACCAGCAGGTTCAAGCCTCAACCCGTCTGACATATTAGTACGACAGACTAGACTATTTTTATCTCGTATAAAGAAATTAAATACCTGTTTCATTACTTATTCATTAAACACTTCATAAATGAGCCAGAATCCACTCCAACAGACATCACAGTTTATCCCTGTACCTTTTAATATGAGCACATAAGAATGCCCTTGATTTTCTGGGATTTAAAAAGGAAACAAAAGAGGAAGAAAAGACAGAATAGCTTAAATTTCAGTTTCCCCCAAGAACACACCTAACCCCCCCAAACCAGAGCTCTTTGGCTAAAAGGCCAAGTTAAACCACATAACAGAGAATAATGGAGGCAGACTGTGAAACACTCACTGTATTTTCCCCTAAAACGGAGTTGTCTCTGAAGAAAAAGCCGGTTAGCAGAGTCGGTGACAGAGGAAAGCGGGAGCTGAGGGACAGACTGTCGGTTCATTTAAAGCAGACTTATCAGTGGACAGACCTTTACTTCCTGGTAAACGTGGAGAAATATCAACAGAGAGATCAACGCGGCACTTCCTGTATGGGCACCTTCAAAATAAAACAAATCATACCTCTTCTATCTAAAACTGGCCAATAAAACCCTCTTCCTTTTACAGCAATCTCAATGGCTTTTAGTTTAAATCATACAGTATTTCTATATGATGACGTTTCTTTGTGTTCATCTGGGAAAAAGGCCGCATTGGAATTTATTTTGAAACACAAAGCGGATATGTGGTTTAGGCTGAGACTTGCTCCTCCACCCTATGACGTCAAAGGAGTAAGGCCCTGAAACCACGCCTTTGTCCGGTCACACAAGGAAGTGTTTGTGCTGAGTTCCCTCAGGACCGGTAAAAAGGGAAAATGCCACGTTAGGAACAGGACACACGGGCCTTGTGCTCTGCTGAGATGAGCAAATATTTGATATATGTGTCTCCTTATTCCACGAATCTGAGAGCAAAGCAGCTCGATCATCAGAGTGTCACACCCGTTTAAAGGTGCTGGAAAGGGAACCTTAAGAGTTCAAACTAAACCCTGGGAGTCAAAAGAAATGTGAATGATCTAACACATGCTAAAATTATTTTGCATGTTGGAATAGACTTTATATATATCTATATACTTTATCGATCCCAGAGTTGGGATATGTATACGTTACAGCAGAAAAAAAAGAAAAGAGCACAAGCACAGGGAAGGCAGGATTAAATAAAGGTTATTTACACCCAACAAAAAATATAAAAGTAAATTATAAGTGAAAGTTATTAAATTATAATAATATGATTATCAAAATATGAAAATGAATTGAACATAGAATTACCATTTGACTTATTTACCAATTGACTACTGGGGCTAACATTATGAGGTGTTCTTTGTGACATTCTGTACTCTACTTTTTACAAACGTTTGTTCACGGCTGTCGAAAAGTTGTATTCCAACTTCAGAAGCACACGGGAGCTGTATTTTAACCACGCCAGTGTTTGATTAATGTTGTATTTGGGACTCAACAGCAGTTTTGAACAGATCCCTAAGAATCTCCTGTGTTGTTTTTCAGTATATATTCAATTCATTTAACCGCATTCACAAGAATAGATATATCAGACGTTGCAAATTTGTGCACTAATGTCTAAAATAGTATGAGAGACCTGTTGTATTTACATGACTGGGTTACTCAAAAACGTACATCATGAAAATATTCTTTATTCTAAAAACAACTGCTCTGGGGAAAAAAGAAAGAAAAAAGATTTGTTTCCTTTTCATATAGTTTGGGCTCATCTGCAATTCTCAGCGCTGATGGACAGGATCCTGCAGACTGAGCAGGATTTTTCTAGATCCTGTGTCTTTTCTGAAGCCTGGTTGTCAGTCCAGGCCAGCCCAGAGACCCATGGCACTTGAACAAAGGCTGCAGGGTTGAGAGCAAAAAAAAAAAATGAAAGGAAACAGATGTCTTTGGAAATTATGTTTGCTTCCATCCTTTACTGCAAATGTCTTCTCTTTGTTAGAAAAGAATTTGGAACGGATGAAGAAATCTCAAGAGGGAAAACAACGCAGCAATATGATTCCACAGTAATAATGACAGCAACCAATCCAACCATTCAGAAGAGGGCAGATGAGATGGGACAGAAGGAAGTATTCAAAACTGAGAGGAGAAACAACAAATTGAAAGGAAAAAAAAACACAACTGCCATTCCTCTCATGAATGTGGTTGATTTTAGAAGCATTTTCTGGTTTCTTTCTGCGACCTCAGTTTGTTAACTCAGATTTTTCTTTTCCTCTCCTAACGCAGACCAGCAGCATGGCTCAGCTTTGTATATGTTTCAATGTGTATCTGTATTGAGGAAATGGCCAAAGACGGGGTACAGGACTTGGCCAGAGCCTGCACATATTTGCCAGGGGGAATAGTGTGGCGCAGCTGGGTGGACCAACCCAAATGTTTGCTAGCTGAGAGGCTGCCAGCCTCAGTAACGCAACCAACTCTCTCTGGGAGAGGAGCCTGCTGCTCTAGTTACTAAACTCTGCACCTCTGCACACGCTGTCAGTCTGTATGTGAAGTTAATCAGTGCACATGTTCTTCAGTTTTGATATGGAACCATTTTAGAGATCAATGCACAACAATAAAAAGTTATGGTACGTATTAAAAAGGTCTATTAATGACAATATTAAAATGTGACAATCTTTATGTATTTCTGGTAATTGAATACATTCCTTAGGTTTGTTCCTCAAAGCCCAGCATTTAGCACCTGGGTATTAGCTATTAGTTTATTTTACGTTTGTTCAATCAACAAGTAGCCAATGACATTACAGGTTAAAATGTTTTAACCAACATGACGAGGTCATAAAAGCAACTTAAAACTCTTCAAATGTAAAGAAGTGGAGTACTGTGTAAAGTCTGACTGAGCTACATTCACATGCTGAGGACAAAACTAAAAGCCAACAACAACAACTGAATGCAGTTACATTAAAGACCTGATTGCATTATCATAAAAGACACCCTGAGCACAGGTTCCAGACTACAGGAATCCACTGCACACAAAGGATTCTCATCATTTAGGATTATTATGATTATGATTAACATTTTTTAAATTAAAGATGTGTTTATGTTGTATATGTTTATGCATTTGGCAGACACTTTTGTCCAAAGCGACTTACAGAGTAGACACAATATTACATTTATCATCACTATGACAATAAGCTATACAGAGGAGAAAAACTGATCAGAGTCAGTGGTGACAGCAAGAGATGGAGGTAGAGAAGGAGTTGTGGGGGCCCCCGGTAGCCCCCGGGGAGACCCGGCCCCGGTAGGGGGGCCACCGGCTCCGGCCCCGGTAGACCGGTAGCCCTCTACCGGTAGCCATGTAAATAGTGACAAAAATAGTTCAACAGCGGAATTATATTTGAAAAAGTTCACAATCTAAATGTATTTCAATCACATCATCATTAGAATTAAGTGGGTTATGTAACGCTCACAATAGTATGCCCAGAAAAAAGTCAATAAAGCCATTGAGAGCAGATCAAATGTTGACTCATCTTCAACCCTGATCATGTGGCAAGATTGATAGAAATGATGATCCCTGGAGTAGATTAGAAGTCACCCCCAAATTCAGCCTTTATCATTTCTCCTGCTGTCACATCCCACCCAGAACACACCCAGTACCGCGCATTTGTTCTCTGCCTGAAATAGGAAGTGATGCACAGAGAGAGAGAGAGGGTGCAACAGTCTGCAGGGTCTCCATCTGATTCTCTTCATCTCTCTCCACCTGAGTGCCAGTTAATCCCCCCCTCATCCCGCGGACTCCCAGCTGGATACGCCGCCTCCTTCTGAATGGGAGCCTGCATTAGCACCGAGGAACTTTCCCCTGCTGTCTGTTCGTAAAAGCTGATTGGAGATTACTGGCCTGCTGCAAAAACAGAGCCCTCCATCTCATCTCAAATCACCTCTATCTCCTTATTTTTTTTATCTTCTTAATCCCAGCTCTCATCTTTTTCAATGTCATCAACTTTTCGCTCCCATTTTGGGCCCCCCATTCTTTACTCTTTCCACGCAGTCGAATGACAAGACAGATGGAGATGAGTAAGAAAGGAAAGAGGGAATAAAAAAAAATAAAAAAAAAGCTTCCCCTCCCAAGTGGAGCCAGAATGATGTCATGGGGGCATTTGTCCTCCTGGTGTGGAGGCTTCCCTTCCTCTGCTAATTACCTTGTACAAACGCGAATCTGATATGGCGGATATGAGGCCCAAATACAATTATTGTGGGCTAACAAAGAGATATTGAGATTCAGGGAATGAGGGAGAGACCACAAGTGAGATAGAAGGAGAGACACGTGCACGTCCATGCACGCAAGCACACACGCTCGCATACCCACCCACCCACACAAACACAACCACTTGTCCTTCCTCTCCATTCCCTCAGATAGGCTAATGTTATTACTGGGGTAATTATCCTCATTAGTGCCAGCAGCTGTAGAGAGCCCATTGCTTGCTGTTCTAACTCCACCCCAAACCTTTCTGTCTTCACAGCCCTCTTTGTATTCCCCAGATCTCATTTAGTGATTCTGTCTCCATCCCTTGCATCCAAGTTGTAAAAATAGAGCCCATCAGATAATAAACCAGAGTTAACTCCGTCTCCTAACTTGTTAACGCCCATTTTGTTTAGATTTTCTTTTAGTTTTTCAGGACTGCTCCGCTGGACAAAAAGCACATGAAAAAGTTAGAAAAGCAGCTATGGTGTGATTTGAATTCGGACATCAATTTCATCATTTATTTTTCTGGAATAAAACAATGAAGTCAGCTGAGTCAAATGCTGACCACTTCAATTTGTGAGGCTTAACAACACAACACAACACAAGGTGGCACTGTTTGGTCAATTAACCACCCCGCTGGTCTTCACTCACTTTCCACTTTGACATGGCCCACTGCTCTCATCTGTCTCGTGTTTTTCTGCTTAACCAAGCCATTCTTCTCCAAAGAAAATGAGCTGTCAGAGTCCTTCCTCCTATAATGGCACTCTCCGACTGGGATGTGCAGCTAAATGGAAAATAATGGCGTTTGCGCGGCCTCAGTTTTGCATGGAACTGTTGACTGTGAGAGCAGCTTTAAAAATGAACCCCTTTTCTAACTTCATACCCGGTGTGAATCTTTATATAGACATTATGAGATCAACATTTAAAGCAGGCAGCTTTATGCACTGCGTCCCTTTCCGCTCGCTGAGATTGCCTTCAGTTTTTATTGCCAGGGGCTGGTGAGGACTGTAGGTAACCTGTATACCGCTAAGCCCCGCGTCAGGCGCTAAATGTCATGCATAGCCTGTTTTTATTGGCTGATATGTCCTGTTGTGCCCTTATCCTTTTGCTGGAAGCCATTGTTAAAGAGCTGGTCGTTAATGCTGCTGACCAGATGGGATCCATCCCCCCGCAGGTCTGACTGAGGGTGTTTACCATGCACTGGGCTGTGGATAACAGGTGAGACTACTGCTGGCTTCTCAGCCAATCAGAGAGCAGCAGATGTCCTGCATGTGCC